ACAATGGGCGCCCTGCCGCGAGTTGAACCCCGAATTCCGGATTGGGTGCCAAGCGCGCTGCCCACTCAGCCAGGTGGAAGCGACGGCAGGACAATGCCGCTTCGCGTTGCTTGCCGTCGCTTGGCGTCGCGTCATGCTGGCCGTCAGCTTTGGTGAGGGTGCGGTGACGTCTGGGGCGTGTCGCCAGACAGGGCGTGGCGGCGTGGCGGCGGCTCGGTGCACGGCGGCGCGGGCGGGGCGCTGTATTGCAATTCGTCAGGCCGCTCGGCCGCTTTGCGATTCAGATTAAGATTCGGCTGTTTCTGGCCGACGGCCCGAGGACCGCGTCGGCCGAGCCGCGGGCAGACACGTCCGGGGCCACCCCCGCGCGGCGCACGCGTCGACGCCGTGCCCTCTCCCCGTCGAACAACAAGCACAAAGTGAGAAGAAAGAATTGGCGGCGTCAACTGTTTTCGTTTTTCACGCCGTTTAGGTGGTCCTCGAGTCCTCGCGTGCGGCTGCGGACAGCTTTGGCGTGCCGTTTTGGCGGAGGTGGTGCAAAAGGGTATTTCCGACGGCTCGGCCGGCCCGACCGGGTCAGAGGTCGGCCAGGAACGCCGCCAATGGCCCGGCGTCGCCGCCAACGCCCCGCACGGCACTGTCGCTGCATCCCGGCCGGGCACCCAGAGCGCTGCGGGGGCGTCGTCGAGGAGGTCGTGATCGGCGCCATCGTCGTGCGCTCGGATTCCTGAGGTCGCGCCGCCGCCGGCGGGTCCCCGTCGCGCTGGCCGCGGCCGCGGCGCGGACGGTGTGGGCGTCGGGTCGGGCCGGGCCGCGCGGGTCAGCGAGTCGGAGGGCGCTGGCACTGTAGTCCAGCCTCGGAGCCGTCATTATGCGAAAGAGCGCTAATGGTGGGTGTCTTGCCGACAGCCTGGCGGGCTGGCCGCCTGGTCCGCCGTGCCGAGGCCCCACTCGGGGCTCTCGGGCGGAGGCCCCCCGGCTACGCCCGGCCACGCCACGCCGTGCGGCCCACCCGACGCCCCTCGACGGCCAAGCTACGGCCCCTGCGGCCACTCCCAGACCGTGGCGGGCCGAGGCCCCCTAGTCCACTCTCATACCGCCCGTCCGTCCGGCGAGGCCTGCCCTGCCCTGCCTGCCCGTTTGGGGCCCGCGCGCCGCACGCCGCTCGCCCCAAGGGGTGCCTCTGCCTCGCTCTGCCTCCACATGGGAACAGCGGGCCTGGATCTGGCGGCCCACACCGCGGCGAGGTCGCGGAGGTCACCGCCTTGGACCGCTTGGGCCGACGGGTTGATTCGGGGGACCGCCAGAAGGACAGTGCCTTCGTCTATCTGTCTCTCTCGCACTCACGGTGCGAAGCGCCGTCCGGAACCACTCTGCTGCTCATCTAGTATGGGAGCGTCAAGCCCGTCAGCAGCCTCCCACCGACAGCCCATTGCACAACGGCCTGCTTGACCTACTCCTGCACCGCGCCACCGCGCCCCGGCGGGTGTTCCTGCAGTCTGCGGAGCGCGGAGCGCGGAGCGAGGTAGCCACTTAGGAGGCCATCCTCTGCGCTGGCTCCCACGGGTGCGAACCGCGCCGCCGAGCCAGCCGAGCCTGGCCGAGCCCTCCGGCTGGAGATGTTGCAGGCCGAGGCGCACGAGGGCAGGGCAGGGCGGCCCGCGGGCCGTCACGACGCGAGGCGATGCCGCGATGCCGCGATGCGGCGATCAGGTGCTCAACGCCGCCACGGTGGTCACCCCGACGCCCCGGCGACTCCCACGACGCCCTGAGCCTCAGCGGCTGGCGTGAACCGGAGAAGTGGAAGCTGTTGGCTTGGTCTCCTGGGCCGGGGAAGCAACAATGAACCAGGCAAACGCGTGTTGCAAATTCATTTTAAACCAGATTGACAAAAAAAATAGAAATGAACCTTAGCACACGGCAGTGTCCGAGGCCGTCGATGTGACACTCGGGAAGGGCCAGTGTGCCAGTGCAGTGTCCAGCTGTCTGGGTGTGTGCCGACCTCTTCGCAAACCGCGTGGTCATTGTCTGGACACTGCACTGCAGCGCGAGGAAGACGAGCGCAAACAGCACTGCAGGTGTGAGGTGCAGTGCAGGGCATACACGGCACGGCGCGCCGCGGCGCCATTGTGCCAGACAGGTCGCTGTCTCTCTCGCACTCCAACGGGGCGTCCCACGTGGCACGAGGGCGACAGGGACGGGGCCACGAAGGCGCGCCGTTCGGAATCCGCCTCGGGCTGGAGCCCCTCAAGGATAGGCAACCCTGCGGCGCTGCGGAGACCGGCGGGCCGGCCCGCCCAGACGGCGACTGCAGGCGCCCGCGGAGCGTGCCTGGTGTAGTCCGCGCTGTGGGTGTGTGAGTGGGTGGGAGTGCATCCTGCGGTGTGTGCGTGAGTGTGGTGGGTGCGGTCCAAAGACGGCGGCGCACGGCGAGGATCAAAAATGAACAAGAATGGAGGGGCCGCGAAGGAGCGGGGGAAGGACTGGGCGACAAATGAATCTCGAAGAAAAGGGAGACACCGAATAACCCGTTCTGAGTGTGTGTGTGTGTGTGTGTGTGTGTGTGTGTGTGTGTGTGTGTGTGTGTGTCGACCCGGACCGGATGCTGCGTGTGCCTTGTCGCATACGGGTCTCGCTATCATTCAGAGAAGCAGGACGACGGGGAGCATGGCGGCGAGGTGCGGCGGTGCGGCGAACAGTGACATATACGCGCGGCTGGCGGGTCCCCGCTGGGCCGCCCGGGCCGCTCCATCCGGGCCACGGCCCGCCGGCCGCCACGGGCCGCAGCCCACACCGCGGACGACGCGGACGCGCCGGGCGCCATCGAGCCTCCTTTGACGCGGTGCTCTCGTGGGCGGAGGTCGAAGAAAGGAGGTGGCCCCGCGTCGCCCCCTCTGGGGCTTCGTGCGCCCCGCCCCGCCGCGCCCCGCGGGGCAGTCTGGCAGTGGTCTGGCAATCCGGCGCGGTGGCCTGTTTTCGGGACTCACGGTTATCGCCACCGGGGCTGGCCGTCGTCCGCCGGGCGTTTGTCCGCCGTCGCCGCGCGCCTGCCCACGCCGTCACCCCTTTGATGGCGGTGTGCACGCCGATGTGGTGGGTGGGGACGGCGTGGTGTTCGCGCCGTAGTCCGGGTGCAGCGGGGCCGCGGGGGCGCGGGGGCCCCGTATCGCCGTCTAGCCGCGTTCCCGGCCGCACAATGGCACTGCAGAGTCGGTGGCCCTCCCCGCCCCCGCGGCCCCCGCGGCCCACGCGCCGCAGACAGCCAGTCATTCCGGCATCTCGGATACATATCTCAGGCTTAAGCAGCGAGCGCTGCGCCGCGCCACGCGATCCGGGACTGCACGCCGCCGGGCCGCCGCCGTCGCGGGAGTGTGCGCCGGCGTACTGCGCATCGCTGCATCGCTTGCACGCGGGACGACGACATGCAGGCCGCGTGGGTGGTCACGCCTGTCCCGCGGTTCCAACTCTACCGACGTAAAAATATACTCTTCGCGATGAAGCGTGTTGCACTGTCCCAAGCCACTTTCGCCAACTCTGCGGCTCTTCGAAGTGCGAGAGAGACGGGGCGACACTGCTCGGAATCGGCCTGCATGCTCTCGGCGCCCGCGGCGTGTGCCAGCGGTGAAAACATTACAGCATTGTGTGGTCCGGCATTCGCTCATTCCCCATTCGGGGAGGGGGAGCATGATGAGGGCAGGCACCGCGGCAGGCACCCTGAACCCCGGAGCAGTGGCGGCGCGGCGGCGCGGGGGGCACATCCCAAACCTTGCCATCTTTCAAAGCAAACAGTCCCTTTGTTAATTGGGGCTTACGAATTCATAGTCCTGGCCAGACCCCAACGGCCCCAACGCTAACCGACCCCCGCAGCGAGCGGCGCGCCGAGGCCGCGCGGGGCCGCGAGGGCCCCAGGGCGCGCCGAGTCGGGCGGGGCGGGGCGGGGCGGGGCGCCATCCGCGAGCCCCAGCGGAGCGCGGAACGTAGCGTGGAACGCAGCCCCACGAGCACACCGCCAGCAGGACCCAGCAGCTGAAACTACCCCGGGCGCCATCCGCCCTGCCTGCGCACACACGCACACACGCATGCACACACACACACACACACACACACACACGCGCGCGCACACGCTGGCGCGGAAGTGGTGATGGCAGAGCGAGAGAGGAGAGAATAATGAACTTATATAGGCAAAGAACGAGAGCAGGCATGATGATAGAGAAGTCTATCAGAGAAACAAGCCAAAAGCGTGGGTAAGTCGTTGGAGTGGTCAGCGGTGCCAACCGAAATGTTGTCTCACAAAACAGGTCATCAGCGCTGCTGTTTATTGGGGTGCGAACGCCACCGCGATCTAAAAGAAACATTTGCTCTCATAAATGAGTGGCATCCGTTGGAAAACACCAGTGGATTTAACAGAGCACAAAGGGCTGAAGTCTGCATTTTATTTTTAATCCGTTCGATGACGCGCCTTTTCACGTCCATGCCAACGGCGAGCAGTGAGGATGCCATGGATCGCTTCAACACAAAGAGTCCCCCCCCCCTTTCCCCACGGGTAGACGCCACGCAGCACGTTGTACATTTAGCACGGAACGCGTGTTTGCAGAAGAAAAGGAAACTAAATACTGCTGCAGTTCTACTAAGAAAGCACACTGGCTCACTCCCACCCTCGCTTTTACTCTCTCGCACTCACACACGCACGCACACACACTGCTTGAAGGGTTGGCGCCGTTGGCGCGCAGCTTTCATATTTGCCCGCGCTCCGCTCCAGCTCTTAATTAACCCGGGACGTTTTCCAAACTACAATAACGATGCCGTGGCACTGGCGCGGCACTGCCAACAGAGCTAAGCGGCAACGGCCGGCAAAACTTTTGAAAATAAACAACAAAATACCAAGTTTGAAATGTCAGAAAATGTATGAAAAATTTGTAAACACAGGGTATTGTTGCTTGTTGCGAATATCGGAGTCTTCCGTTTTCTCACCCGTTTCCCCTTGTCTCCTTTTGTTGCAGAAGAAAATGTGAGGTGGGCTCCGACATGGAGGGCAAGGAGCCCAAGGATCTGACCGCCAACAGGGCCATGCTGTCCAGTGCCCACATCAAAATGAGGTGAGAAATCCGGTGGCGCTGGCGTTCGCCGCTCGTTTCGAGACATCGAAAGCGGCCCGCACTTCGAGATATCGATAAATCGAATCGGCGCTCGTCTTTTTAAAACGGAGCAGATTCACTCAGCGGCCGCCTGTCGTGGCGCGGGCCCCGCGATAAGCATCTCAGGACAAATTGCCGCGCGAAGGGAGAGGAAGAGAGGTGGGGAGAGAGAGAAGGGGGAGGGAGGAGGCTTGATGCATATTCCGCGGCATTGCGTGGAATCGTATCGCGGACGTTGCCGGCGGCGGTGCGTCGCCGCGCCCACTTCACTTGACCCCAAAAGTGCGCGCCGTCGGCCGTCGCCAGTCCAATTTGGACTTTTATTATTTCGCGCGGCGTTTCGTTTGATTGTCTTATACTTGCTGTAACCTTGCCGATTCTTTCCGCAGAGACAAAATTTTGGTTTTTATTGCGTGCAGGCTGCTGTCGCCCAGTGTGTCGCCCACTGCCTCCAGCCACTCGCCGTCCCCGCCGGCCGCGCAGGCGCCACAGTCCGTCTACAAGGCCACGGGCATCCCCAGCGTGGCGGCCGCCTCCAGGTACACGGCGCCCGTGCACATCGACGTGGGAGGCACCATCTACACGTCCAGCCTGGAGACGCTCACCAAGTGGGTACCACTCAGTCGCGGGGGAGTGTGTCTATGTGATAGAATGTTTGTGTGTGTTTATGTGTGTGTGTGGCTTATTGTGCGATTGTGTCAACAATCCACCTGAGGAGACGTCGGTTTGGGAAACGGCCCCGAACGTGCTTTGTGACGGGGCCAAAGTCCATCCAATCAAACGGCGGCATGCATTCAAACCAATTGAAAGCAATTGAAACCGCGCCGGCCGGTTCGGACAATGGGCCAGACAGAGACGCAGGGGCCGTATTGACCCGTTTGCATTATTCGGCGACGCATAGAGGAAAGTTTGGCGCGACTCGGCGAGCGCCGGGGAACTTTGCAGTGCAGGCCCGCCGCCCCGCAATGAATGGAGCGCTGCCGTCGCCTGGGCCGGGCCAGCCGAGCCAGGTGTAGTGCAGTGTAGTGTAGGGTGGATTGATTGCAACACTGCTAAACGCCGCGCCGCCTCGCTGTCGCTTGCTTTCGTTTTCCAAGGGGTTTGGCGGTGTTGGCCGCGTCGGTATGGCGGCGGCACGCGGCGCGCAACCACGACGACGCGGTGCTTGTCCGTCAGCGGGGGGATAACTTATTACCGCGACCGGCATGCAAGCCATGCAAGCACTCTGTCGCTCTGTCTCTCTCGCACCCCGCGGACCTGCGGTGCGGGGGACAGGCGACTTTTCGGAATGTGGCGCTGCAGGGCCGAATGCTAGCCGCGTGCCCCTCCGAGGTGTCCTGTGTCCTGGTTGTCCTGGGTGTCCAGGGTGTCCGCATGGCGACGGCGGGAGGAGTGGCGGCAAAGCGAAACGCCCAATGAACGGATGGCAATGAATTGCAGTGGGGGCGGCGCGGCGCGGCGCGCTCTGTGAATCAGAGTCTGCCGACAGGAGGGCGAATCCGCGCTCGGTTGCTCCGTCTCTCTCGCACCGCTGCGGGCCGCGCCGCGAGAGCGACAGAGACAGCCGCTGCAGTGTCGCCAATAATTCAGGCGGGCCGTCGTGCACCGCGGCGATGTCGCGGTCGCGGCCACCCACGATCGGCGTCCGCCGCCGCCCACCACTCCACCGCAAACTCGCCGCCTCGGCCGCATTGGTGCTGATTTTTGTGCTGACGTTGCAGGTACCCCGACTCCCGCCTGGCCAAGCTCTTCAACGGCAGCATCCCCATCGTGCTGGACTCCCTGAAGCAGCACTACTTCATCGACCGGGACGGCGGCATGTTCAGGCACGTGCTCAACTTCATGCGCAACGCCCGGCTCCTCATCCCCGACAACTTCTCGGACCTGGACCTGCTGCTGGAGGAGGCCAGATACTTCGACATCGCACGTAAGTCGTCCCAGGCAGCCGCCATGCAGCCGCCATGCAGCCGCGCGCGCCGAGGGTGCTCGCTTCGAGCAGGCCCAGCTACGCTCGACTGCTGGTTAGTATTCCAGTGCCATCGTTAACAATATCTGAGCTCGAGGGCGCGGCCAGAGGCAGGGGCAGGGGCGGGGGAGAAGGGTCAGTTTCAAAGCGCCTCCACTGACGGCAGTGACGGCCCCGGGCAGTGGGCGCTGCAAACGCAGCGAAGGAAGCGGTGGACATAGACGGAGGTGTCCTCCGTGCCGGGGCCAGGCCGCCGGGCCGCCAGGCCGGACAGGCCACCCTCGAGCAGCGCGATGGCCGACATGGCGGCCAGCGGTGCTGGCTGGAAGCACGGACTGGAAGCACTGCCTGGAAGCGCTGGCTGGAAGCACGGGATGGATAAAGCGAAGGGCGGTCGCCTCATTGTCTCGTTACGAATGCAAGCCAATTTCTTTCATCCGCGAGAAATAAAAAGAAGCCTCGCCTCGCCAGCAGTAAGTACTTGCTGTCGAGCGAGCGAGAGAGGGGGGGGGGGGAGCCCGCGGGGCTGGCCGCCGGCGCGCGCTGGCCGTGCGGAGGAGAGGGTGCGTCCAGGCCGGCGCGGGGGTGGGGGCGGCTCGGCGTCCCGCTTGTGTGAACAGTGTCGCGACGCCATGGCGTCCCCGCCGTCGCCGACGTTCCCGGCAGCGGGCGCCTCCAGTGTGCTTTTCGAGGGTTCAAATACCCGTCCGTTCCGAGAGACGCTGGTGGCGTCTTGTCGTTCTCGTCGAGAATAAAGCCGAGATATCCCTTTGGTTTGTTCGCCCGGGTCGGGGCGGGCCGGGGCGGAGCGAACGCTAACTTTGCACTACATCACAGGGTACAGGGTACGCACGCCGCGCCGCGCCGCCGACTTTCAACAAAATGAGCGATTTCGTAGACTGCTCCGCGTTCCGCGCTCCGCCGGGGGCGTGGCATTAGAGAGGTCGATGCAGGCCGTCGCGGTGGAGGGGGGAAGGGGGAAAGGGGTGCACGGGGATGAGCACTCCGAACTCCCCTCGGCGAATGATTACCAGCCCCCTGCGCCGCGCAGTGCCGCGCAGTGCCGCGTAGCCGCGTACCTGCAGTGGTGCGTCCCCCACCCCCACCCACTCTCTCTCTGTCTCTCTCTCTCTCTCTCTCTCTCTCTCTCTCTCTCTCTCTCTCTCTCTCTCTCTCTCTCTCTCTCTCTCTCTCTCCCTCCCTCTCTCTCTCCGCGACCCGCACCGCCCCAAGGAGGCCGCGCCCCGGGGGCTCGCGGAGGGAGGATCGGGCGGACGAGATGAGTGCGCCGGAAACGGGCCGAGTGTCCCCGCCGGCGCTCCGTCTCTCTCGCACCCCCACGCGACGCGACGGGCCGCGACGCGCCGCCCCCCGAGTGCGAGAGAGACGGGGCGAGTCTGCCCGAAGGCTCCGCCGGGTTGCCTATCCCCGTCGTGGAGGAACTCGCCCGAGGCGCGCCCCCTGCGCCGCGCTGGAGCGGCTGGAGCTCCAAGGCTGGAGCCCCGGCGGCTGGAGAGAGACGGGAAGACAAGGACGCAGCAGCGCCGCGGGCGGGAAGAGTGACAGAGAGAGAGGCGGAGAGGATGAGATGCAAGAGAGAAAAAGGGACGAATGAGGGGTGGTGCCCCAGTGGTGCCCCAGTGGTGCCCCAGCGGTGCCTGGGGCCTCGGGGCTGAAGATGGGATGGGACTCGTGATGGCGACTAAGCAAAGCAGGCAAAGCAGGAGGACGAGGACGAAAATCGGCTCGACGAGGCGAGGCAGCCGAGGCGGCCAAGGCAATCGGCGGAGCCTCGCTAGCGGCCCAGCGGCCCAGCCTCGACGGCGTGCTCGGCGGAGCGGCGCGCCGCGGTTATCAGTAATGTTTCCCAAGGTGCGGCACCGCGGGCTTGGTCGTGCTGGGCCGGTGGGGGGCGCGACGGTGACTTCCCTTCCGACGCGGCAGGGAGATTGACCCGATCGTCTACTGGCGTGCGTCTCCGCTCATATCCTGGCCATTTCCGCATCACGTCGTCCCCGTGATCCGCGTGATCCTCGCCGTGCGCCTCGGCCTTGTTAGCCCGGCCCCTGCAGGGCGCGCCCGCATCGCCCGCATCGCCGCACGCTGCAGCAACTGGTGGCAAATGCCAGTGGATGTCGCCTCCGTCGCCGCGCCCCGCCGCCGGGCTGCCGGGCCGCCACCCCCGCGGTGTCCTCGCGCCTCGCGGCGAAGGTCGCCACGCCGTCATTCGGGGAGCTCACTGAGGTTCAAAGCCTCGGAGACCCTACAGGTTCAAAACGTGCAATAATTCATAGATTTGTGCTTTTGATTGATTTTTAACGACTTAAATTTTGACGGTCTTGCTCGCGTACAATGAATTTTCCTAGTGGTCGTGATGATGGTTGTGGGCGTGAGGGGGCACCGTCGTCGCGTCGTCGCCCGCGAGGAAGGGTGGACGGGGCGCGAGCACGCCGTCGACGGACGGGCGGTGCGGCGATGCACCGGGGCTTGCGGCTGGCCGCCCTCGATGCTGATCATGATCATGATGAGCGGCATGATGAGGACGCGCCGCGCGCAGCGACGGGGAGGCGAAGGGGAGGGGGCGAAAGAACGGCAAAGAAGCAGAGGGGAGAATTGGGTTGTGTAGCCTCGGGGGTTGAAAGAGAGGCAGGGGTGGGGCGGCGGCGGGCGGCAGGGCCCGCGGCGGGGCGAGCGGGAGTTGCGACAGGCGGGAGGGGGTGGGGGGCCCGGGGGCGGGTGGGCTGCGGGCGCGGCGGCCTCGTCCAAAGTCGTGCAACTGCGCTTGCCCGGCGCGCCAGTTGCGCCTCCAAGCCGCGCGCCCCCGGCCACTAGGGCCACTAGGACCACGGCGAGGGCCTCCACGGACAGGGCCGGCGCCGCACCGCCGCACCGCCGCACCGCCACTCGCCCCCAGCACCTCAGGCAGGACGCCTAACTCTCATACGAGGACGTGTTGGTCTGCAGCGTGGCCCCGGCCTCGGGCCCGGCCGGCCCGTCAGGATGGGAGATGCCGCTTGCCGCTTGCCCCCGGTGTCCCCGACTACCCGGTCCACCGTGTCATTTTCGGACGGAGATTACGCTGGGCTAGGCCGTAGGGGGCATGAGGGCGTCCTAGCTGCGCAACTAGCTGTCGTGTGCAGCAGGCGGCAGCGCGGCAGCAGGGCACGTCGGAAGGGGTGGCCGGCGGGCGCCAGCGGGGCGGCTAGACAACACCGACTTTGTCATTTCGCAGAGCTTGCCCCGCCGGACCGCCGCACCGCCAGGCCGCCACCAGGGGGCGCCACACACGCCACACACGCGGTGCGCCGAAAAAGGACAAGTTTACCGGCCATCCTCTGCAGAGGCCTCGTGCCTCGTGCACTGGGAAATAGGGTTGTCCGTGGCCTGCAGGGGCGGCCAGGCTGGGCCCCTCGATGGCGGAGCCGCCGAGGCGCACGCGCCGCCCTGGGATGTGCTTTGTCGGGCACGTTATTTGCGGGGGCATGCCCTGCCCCGGCCGCCCCGGCCCCCGCCCCGTCCAGCCGGCGAGCCACGGCACACTACACTATTTGCTCGGCGGAACAACAACGACGCCGATGCCGCCGTCTGGTCTTTATTCAGGCCGGCGGGGACGCGACATCGACGTCGGTATGAAAAATCGAATCGCGCCGCCATCTCGGCGGCATCGCATCGCCGTGACTTGATAGACCATCTCGTTTCCACGGCGACGGCGATGGCGGTGACCTCCCCGTGGCCATCTCGGCGCGGCTCGGCTCGGCGGCCCGGCGTTACGGTTTCTCGGCCTCGTCCGCCACGACGCGTCGCGTCGCGCCGTGAGAAATCGGGCGAGCGCCGCCCACTCCGATGACCTTTGGCGGCGGCATGTTCAGCTTGTTGCTGCTCTTGGTGGCGGCGGCATTTTTTCCGTGCAGACCATCGCGATCGGCGATCCGCCGCCGCACTGTATCGACGCGGCCAGCGCCCAGAACTGGGGCGCGACGGCCACCCGTCCGCCCCCGCGGCCCGCCCCGACGGCCCCGACGCGGACGAGCACGCCGTCGACGCCGGCCGCCGGCCGTCGGTAATTGAAACCCCGGTGCACCTCGGCGCCGTGGCCAGCCGAGATATCGACGCCCGTCTCTTTTCGAGCTGCTGGCCGGCACGGCCGGCACTGCCCCGGGATGAGTTTGGTTCAACGGTGCCCGCTCCCCCGCCCCGCCCCGCCCCGCCGGCCCCGGGGCAAATATTTGAAGGGCTCCTAATGAGAACGGCTCACGGCCCGGCGGGGCGGACAACGCGGCAACGCGGCCGACGCAGCGCAACGCGGTCAACAGGGAATCTTGGGAAAACAAATGAAAGGGATGAAGGGCGAAATTTTCAACTGCTCAAGGCGAATAAGGGCTGGCGGCCCGCGGGCACGGCCGGGAACACGCGGCGTGGAGGGGGATGCCCTCGCCGACGGCGCCATGCCGGGACGGGGCCGGGGGAAAAGAGCGGAGTAGATAAACAAAGGTACGGTGAGAGAGCGAGAGAGAGAGAAGGGCGAAGGACTCGAAGATCATGCGCAGAAAAAAGGCCGTGCTGGTTACGAAGAAAGCGGTCCTAGAGTTAGATCGCTGTCGAGCGTGAGCCAAGAAGGCGCCTTGAGCTTGCTTACTGGCTGTTAGTCTCCTCGAGCACCGCGCCGCGCTCGAACCGGACCGGACGGCGGGACCGAAACTTGGCGACGCATTGTTTCCATTTTCAGCTAGAGGCGCGGTCTAGGTCTATGCGAAAGGCTTTGGCACAGCGCCGCACAGCGCAAACGCGGCCATGAGCAGCAGGCTCATTCCGAGAGTCGTTTTCGTCCCTCTGTCTCTGTCGCACTCATGGGGCGTCCCGAGTAGGTGCGAGGGAGACAGAGCGACGAAAACGACTCTCGGAATCAGCCTGCAGGACGGAACGGAACGGAACGGAACGGGCTGGCAATGGCGGCCTGGCCGTCCCCGGCGTGCCGCCCGAGGGGACGCCCGCGGCAAGGCGTGCCTGCCGCGCCCGCCGTGCCCGCCGTGCCCCGGGGCAGGCGGCGGAGTACGTGAAACAGACAAAGAGAGACGCGGGGGGAGGGAGAGGGAGAGAGGGCCGGGGGACAACGCATGTGGACCCGTCCACGAAGCTAAACCCCTCATTTCGACTAATCCGATAGTGCGCGGGGAATCAAGTGTGAGTTTGTATGGACCAACACACTCGCACAAACACACAGACGGCCGTCTGGGGATGGACTGGACAGGGCACAGTGCCTCCACTGGTATTGGAGAGGGAACAGCCACCCCTTCCTTCTGCCCGGGCCTGGCCAGCTAGCCGAAAGGAACAAACAGTCACTATCGTATTATGCTGCATATTTATACTTTTGCAATATCCTGCGTCCAGCCAACCGGGGTATTGAGTTTCGGGGTTGGTGGCACGGCGCACGGTGGCGCGACGGCACGGCGGCACGGCGAAGCAGGTCACGAAGCTCGTCATTTCCTTGTCGCTGTTTGTCCTCCGAGGCGCGTACGGAAATGGGCATCGGACTCGGAGACGAGCGCAAACCCCAGCACTGCGTTGCACTGCGTCGTCCGAAAACAGACTGAATGTTTTGTTTTGTTGCCCGCAGCGATGGTGCGGCAGCTGGAGCAGATGCAGCGGGACCGCCACCAGAGGACGGCGACGTCGTCCCTGCCGTCGCGGACGCCGGACCGCGGCACGCTGACGGGCACCCACCCCCACCACCCGCCAGGCCTCGGCGGCGCGCTGGCCCCCGCCGGCCACGGCGACGCGTACGAGTGCGTGGCGCTGCACGTCAGCCCCGACCTCGGCGAGCGCCTCATGCTGTCCGGCGAGCGGGCTCTGCTGGACGAGGTACGTACCACGACGCTTGTCGTCCTGCAGGAGTGGCTAGCCAGTCGCTAACCTCTCTGTTGCTGCAGGTGTTCCCCGAGACCAGCCAGGCCGTGATGGACACGCGTCAGGGCGCGGCGTGGAACCAGCACGACCAGCGGCACGTCATCCGCTTCCCGCTCAACGGCTACTGCAAGCTCAACTCGGTGCAGGCCATCCAGCGCCTGCTCAACGCGGGCTTCAGCGTGGTGGCCTCCAACGGCGGCGGCGTCGAGGGCCAGCAGTTCTCCGAGTACCTGTTCGTGAGGCGCGCGCTGCCGCCCTCGTGATGCCCGCTGCGCCCCCGGCCGCCGCCGCCGCCACCCCCGCCAGCCGCCCCCGCCGCGCCCGCCGCCCCGGGGGCCGTGGCGTTGTTCCGGCCGCCGGCCGCCCCCGCGCCGCGCGGTGAGACGCGCCACGCTGTGGGGGTGGGGGCGGGGCTCCACCAGGGCCAGCAGGGTGCTGGCGGCGGTGCCGGGGGCGGTGCCGGGGGCGGCGCTGGGGGCGGGGGTGGCAGAGAGGACGCCCACGCCGTGTACTGGCAGCGCCTGCTGCTGGCCCGCGGCGTTTGGGATGAGTAGCGCCGCGGGCCCGGGCGGCCCTGAAGGCCGGCGGCGAGCCCTCGGGCGGGGAGCATGGCGGGGAGCCACGCGGACCAGGGCCATCCCATTCGGTTATAGGAAAACAACAGCCTGCCGCCGAGTGCTTTCCCCAAAATGCGGCGTCCTGGTCGTTGAGCTGCCCGCCATGCCCAGCGAAGTCGAAACGGGGCGAAACTGGAAACGACCTCGACGACCGTCGTGGACCGCATTGTCGACATCAGTTGTTTTTGTTTCTGTAAAGCAAAAACAATTGTTTTGCCATTGTTATTTTGTTCTTCTTTAGTAGTGTGCGGAGCAGAATGCCACTGTCGGAGATCCAAGTAGTTTATTTCTGTGATCCCCTTAAAATTACCTTTAACCGTCTAGTTCTCTAGTTGCGGCGATCCCGTCCGGAGTGGCTGCGGACACCTCTAGATCTCTCTTGCCCGGAGCCGGGTGAATCAAAACGCAAAAAGCATCGTAGCGCCGTCCGGCCGTCCGGCGCAACATTATCATACTTACGTAATTGTATATTCTGTGATATATATCGTAGTTATGTTTAAACTCGTTTAGTACCAAAACCGTAGTGTCCTTACTCTCGACTCTCATCATGTAAAGTAACCCTCCTCTCATCTCTCCCTAGGAGCCTCTGACACTATGTAAAATTCACTTCAACTTAATTTATTTGTAATAATGTACCATAAAATATATGTCTAACTCCGTAACGATTCGTTGCCATCTTTTTGTACTTGCCTTTCTTAGCTTAATATGGAATCAGCCACTCGGTTGTACCTTCCAACTCGTTGTAGACGGATGGTTGTGCCATAATAATGTACTCTGTAGATAATTCATCTTGCCTTCAACTGTCTAATTTAATTTTCTAAATCGCACGGTGAGCCCTTACTTAGTCCTTAAACCTCTGTTGTTGTTAGTCCTTTGACAATCATGCCAACTGTCTTTATTTATGCAGTAATTTAATTACGCTGTGCATTTCGTCACATTCGTTTCTCTTTCTTTTCATATTTAACAAACGTTGGAATTGAATTATAACTAAAGTCAACAATATTTTGTGTTAAAATAAAGACAATTTAAAGTGGATCGCTCGTGTCTCTACCTCGTGGCTCGGCAAGCGCCGTGCGGGTATGCAACGCGTCGGCTCGCGCGCTGCGTGGTTGCCTATCCCAACTTCGCAGGGGCTTCAGGGGCTGCAGTGCGCAGCAGTGCAACTCTGGCAAATCTTCCGACGACCAAGTGAACGCCCTCGCATTGCTCAGAGAGACTTTTGGGCCCAACGGGCGCGGACGACCGGGGGGAAGACCGCCAAAAACGCGCTCTGTCGCGCATGCGCGCACACGAACACACGCACACATTCTCGCACGGGCGTGCGCTCCGAGACACGAGTCCCTGGGGCTGAACAAGTAAGTCTCGGGATTCGCCTCGTCCGATGTTGGGCGGGGCGGGGCGCCTGGTGGCGGCGATCCCCTCCAGGCGGCCCGCCCGCGGCCTCATCCACAAGACATTTAACATGTTGGGGGATTACATGAGCCGGAAACAGGCGCACCGGAAGAAGCGAGCACCAAAGTGACAAACACCTGCGCATCGCGGCACGGCGGTGCGGCGCGGCACCGCGGCGAGGGCCCGGGGGGAGTGTGGGGGAGTGTGTGTTCGGAACCTTGTTCCGCCGTCAAATTGGGCCGCTGTGTGCTTGGCTTGCGCCAGGCTTGCTTGTGCCAGGCGTGCGTCACTACACTGCCTTCTTGCCTACGCAACTTGAAACGCGTGTTCTGGCTGGCGGTGCTGGCGGCATGCTGGCGGTGCCGGCGGCAAGTCGAGGCCCTCTGGGCGGTGCGGCCGCGGCCGCAGAGGCGGGGCGGGGCGGTGCGGAGCCAGGAGATGGAATCACGTGGTTCAGCCCCAAAGTCGCTCTCCTGGAATCGCCGCTGGCGCGCTGGCGGGACGTCGGGACGTGGGCAAGGACTGGTCGTGTAGTGCGGGCAGCCTCAGGGCGCTCCCGGCTCGGCTCGGCTCGGCTCGGCTCGGCTCGGCTCGGCTCGGCAGGCTCCACTCCGCGCCGCACGCCTCGGCTCGGCCCAAGCCCCGGCTCGGCTCGGCCCACATCACAAAGCAAGTAGCACGTCTCGTCCGAACGGCCGGCGCACTCGGCATCACGTATAGCAAATTCATTTTATTTGGGCAAAGTTGGCGCGACGCGTGGCGGGGCGCGGTATCCAATCTCGGATAAAGTTACGCGGCCAATGTACGTGCTCGCGCGGCTCGCGGCAGTGCAGTGGAGGCGGCCGGGGCGCGGGGAAGTCCTGGAGGCCGCGCCAGCCCAGCCCTCGCCCGAGGTCGTCGCTCGTCGCGGGGTCGAGAGAAGGTGGTAGAAGGTCTTGATCCCGAGGCCCGCTGGGCACCGCTGGGCAGACTAGCTGCTAGTCGCCGGCAGCCCGGCTGGTTCGGGCACCGCCAGCACCGCCAGTTCGTTCGACTGCGCCGCCGGCAACGCGCGCCACTTTTGAACGCGACCTGGCATTGGCCGGGGGCGTACCTGCCTTGACAAAGGTGGGGGGGTGGGGGCGGCAACCGGAGGGGGAGGGGGAGGGGCACGCAGGCCGCTGCGCAGGCCCCGGGGCGGGAGCTGTGTTATATGAATGCGAGCCCCGGGCCTCGCATCATTATCTATGCAGATGGACCCCCGGGACTCGGGAGGGAAAGAGAGAGGGAAAGAAGAGGGCAGAAAGGGGGAAAGAGAGAGAGGGTACGGAACTGGCGGACAATATCCCTCTGCCTGCAGTGCCCGCAGCCGCACCCTGCCCAATGTCCGCCGCGTATACGGTCACATTTGCCACAGCATTTTGCAGCATTTTCAGCGATTCCCATTAATTGACCGGGCTGCCACCGAAGCTTGGACCCAACTCCCCCTAGGAGTCACCGCAGCCACAACCGTAAAGGCGTCGATCCTCAGACCTAGGCGATGGGGTTCAACTCCCAACAATCGTTTTTACTTTTTACTTTTACCATTCGGCTTTTGCATTTTACTCGCGGCACATGCGTGTGGCACTTCCCTCGGAGTCGCCCACAGCCTAAAGCCAAAAGAACAGCCCTTTTCTCTGCTCCAGCAGGACTGCATCCACCTCCTCTTCGACTTTTGGACTCTCCGAGGAGCCTCGCGCCGCAAGACACAGACAGACATTCAAAGTCAAATAAGGCTGTCGCGCTTAATCTAGGCCAGGCTGCTCTGTCAACCAAGACTTGGTGCCTGGCGACGCCGAGGCTACGCGAAGCGCGCCGGTTTTTGTCCCGCGAGATCCACGCCGTCGTCGCGGTGCTGTGCGGTGCTCGTGTTTGACAAGGGTCTGGCTCTGGCCTGCTCCTCTCCCTGTCCCCATTCCCAGATCAAACAAAATTACGGGCCAAGTTAATTATGAAACCGGGTGAGGTGGGTGTGCGGCCGCTGTTCTGCCATCTCGCTCTACTGCATAGTTGGCACCTGCTCTTCTCTCTCTTTCTATATTTTCATAAGTTCCATGCCCAGAACGATTTCTTGTTCTATGATTGGAACCAGTGGTGTTTTGCAGTGTGTTGTGGAGGGATCTGGGTGAATGACAAATCAAATTTAACTTGGAAAATTCAACTTTCTCCATTTTATTTGTGGGTAAAGGGGGGGGGGATAACTGAGGTGGACTGGGCGTCCGACAATATTAATAAATAAATAAGACACATTCAACATAACTTCTAATTCTTTCAAGGTTCGCATGAATAAAATAAGATAAAATAGTCTGAAGCAGCATACACTGCTTACAGACATTATCACTTGGCAGTAGGTAAAGAACATAATACTTACATCAATTCAATGCTTGCAAGTGAATTGTAACACAATATCAGGTACTAAGGAACCCGCTATAAACCACAACATATAAAATTGCCATTACGAGCAATCAGAATACAAGCAGTTACCAATGCCTGTGATTGGTAGGCACACACATGTTATTCAAGCTTTAGTATTCCTCCACCTAGGAAAGTTAAGCTTACAAACTACAAAGCACATACAAGTAGTTAACAAGGGATCATCAAAACTGACAATTAAATCTTGTAACAAAATTAATTAAAATTAAGTACATGATGGAATACAAAGGTTGGGACACCAACCTACTATAACAAGCAAAAGTATACAATAACAGTAATAACAAAGTCTCCAGAAAGAACAATGTTTTGTTGGAAGAAAATAAAAAGGTACTTTTTTAAAACAAATTATAAATTCAAAATTTGTTTGTCTAATAAACTAAAATGAAACATACCAGAACTTCCCTATGTACCACAGTACCATTTCAAAAAATTACAGATCAGCGGCTTTAGAGGAAACATGAACATAAATTGGTTGTTGCCTTCAAAGTGTGATGCCGCGAGACGAGGGTCCGGCCCCACCAGATTGATTAGTGAGTCCCATCGCATACTGGAAGTGACGCCGACCATCCAAATAATGCATAGCCTCTGCAAAACAAACATTTCAAAAATTATAAATTTAAAAAATGATAATAAATGAAAGAAAAATTTTGAAAATTGGCTGAAAAGATCTTACCATGATAAGTAGATGGATATACTTTTCTAATAATTTGAGGTACGTGGTATGTGAAATGAAATACATTTGTTGTCTTTTTTGTTCCACCATACGGATCCGTTACCTCTGCATGAGTGGTGACTTGTGCGTAGTCCATTTCAGCATATACAACCTAAATGGCAATCATTATGTTACTGTCATAATTTTCATGTAAATGTTCATTATTTTAAAGGTAAATAATGAAAAAAAAATTTACATACCCTTGCATGCATTCGCAAAAGTGCCCCAACTTCTACTGGATGGTGAAAAACAATATCGCTCATGCAAACCAAGCGTGGTTTAAAATAGCTACAACAGGGTTAGAGAAGGGGGGAAACAATTGTTAAGTAACACCCTAAGGGAATAGAGGCAATAAAAATGATAAAAGTAGTAACCTGTGAGCAAAACAGCATGTTGATGACAACTCAACAGCCTGTCTCATGAGAAATCCTCCAAAAACTGTATTATGAAGATTCCTATCCTGAAATCAGATGACAAAATCGTACAATAAGGACCCCTTCCTTTCTTTATTCAATTTTTAAGAAAGGAGTAGTGCCGTACCTCAGGGTGAGAGTTGATCATATTTGTGACAGTTGTGTCTGACATCCAACGGCCATTTGTGGGTAGCACTCTGCGCTCAAATGTAAGGTCATTGGGATCAACAGTGTCCAAAAACAGCTTATGAATAATATGCTGTTCGTTGACATCTGGTGTCATGCGCAACAAGTTTTCTTTTTGAACCTGTGACCTTCTGAGTTTGCGAGCTACAAGTAAGAAAAAAAGGATATAAAGGAAAAGAGGTAGATCACGAAATAATAAGAATACACATTGAATTGAAACGCCTCAGCGATAGTAACTGAATGTGCTTACCTAGCCCACCATCCAGAATCTTTTTCTCCTCCTCATTTGTTGCCTTCAAACTATTGATACACGCTGAGTGTGTGTTTGTGGAGTTTCTTGCAGCCATTAAGAAAATAGCTCTGGTGAGTTTTCTCCAGGCCCCATGCTGGAATTGCTCCAGCCATACTGCAACCTCCATGGTCGACTTTCCAACCCACGAGACATGCCCTGACAAACGGATGTCTGCATCAGGCTAAAATAGAATATTAGAACAAGATTATTAAATCAGGTTTCCTGATAATCAAGGAAGGAATTTCACCAAAAAATAAAAATGGTCCACATACCGAAGGAATGACAGATGTGAAGTCAATTTGATCTACAAGGACAGTGACAATATTGTAAGGTGTGAGAACGTCCTTCTGCTTTGGGTTGTCAATGTGCTTGAAAGATAACCAGACTGAAATGCAATTGCAAACACATGAGTACATGTTTGGAAATAAATCAATCACTTGCAACCATCAAGGACACCGATCATGAAGTACCTGCAAATATGTCCATATCCTCCATCAGCCGTCCAAGCCTCACATATCCGTGTAAGGTTGTATATTTCTCTCTCATATCCAGATCAGTGCTCAGGGGGATGAGTGCATGGTCAAAACTGTCCTGAAAAATCAAATTTTACACTTATGAAAGAGTCAGTAAATGGATCATAAAGCATTGTTTGTCTAGGCAACTTACATTCATTGTCCTGACTGGCAAATCAGCTTGACTAGAAGGAAGCATCTCCAATAAATGGGTTCGATCAACTTTAAGAGGAGTGTAGCCCTTCTGAACACCCATAATTTTGTGAAGTTTCTCTCGCACTGAAATACATTGGGTTGTTTTAATTCACATCTTAAAGATAGCAGGCAGTACGGTTCTCCCAAAAATGTGTTTGTCATAATAATAAACTCACTCTCGGCGATCGTTTGAACAGGTTTTGTGGGCTCATGGCCCACAACATGGCTAAATTTTCTGTTTTGATGATGTATACCTTTCTTACTGAAACAAATATTAAAACATACCCAGATTCAAAGATTAGCACAAATGAACAAAGGAAACAATTAATCGAAAGACGGTATGTGAGCAAGCATATCAGTGCATTCAAAGTGAACTTAAGTGGCACCATTTAACAAAATGGATAAGCGATAAAGATAAATAGGATAGTAGTGGGCGGCAATAGTAACCTCAGCGCCAGCAGTTGAGACGGCCGGTTTGAAGAAGCCCTGCACAATTTCAGAAATACATGCGAAGCCATCTTTGCAGTTGCGTTCCGCCTCTGCTGGTCTGCGACTTTTAGAGTTTGCCCCGAGGCGAATCAGAACGGGACTGCGATATATGATGAAATGAAGTGACGTTTGTTTGTCACTGCATTCTGCTAGAGTGCTGTGTTCTGCTGTCGGTGACAGACTAAGCAATGTGAATCTGAATCTGTCTGCAGATTGTGTTCGGCTTTTGTCTTCGGCAGGCTTCGGCTTCTTCCGGCTGCTTCCGGCTTCGTTCGGCGTTCGTTTAACCCTTTCGCGGAAAACCGTTGCCAGTTGCCTGTTGTTTGCAGACTCTTTAGGGTCACAGGTTAGGGTGGGTCGAGTTTTAGTTGTACTGTAGGTGTGCATCTGCAGATTGCTGTCGCGTTGCTTTGTTCCGTTCTCTCGCGGTTCGAAACATTGGTATGCAGCATAAGGTTTGAGATGGACTCAAGCCTTTCATGTTTCACTGAGAATTTTTATTTTTGTACCTCCTATCTTAACTGAGATGTCAAAGAGAAAAAGGAATGTGGCCTTTCTGAAACCGGACGAACCAGCTTTTATAACGCGCATGAAAGCAGCAGCAGGATACAAAGAGGGTCCAACAGTTGACACCAAAGTATGTATTGTATTTGAGCAAGGAGATAAGCTCTCTGTTTCTTATCTACTTTCAACTCATTGATGGTCTCTGTTTCTCAATTGCAGAGGGAAGCCTTGTCGTTTGATGAAGACGGGGATGACTATGATGACGAAGAACCTCAAGTGGTCGTGCTGAAGGAGGGAGATCTTACTGCGGAAGAAGCCTCCAAAGCTAAAGTCGAGAAGGAAGAAGGTTTGTGTCACTTATAAATTGTGTCTCATTTGTGATGATTTTAAATTTTTCCACTATTGGTTCTTACTATATGTAATGCAGGTCCTGCAGATCTTACTCAAAGAGTGGTCTTTAAGAAACCAGACAAAGCCAAAAAAACAGAATCGTCAGAAACTCCTAACATCGATTCTTCAAGCCTCAAGAAGAGCTCTGACAAAGAAGACACCAAAACTAGTTCTAAGAAAAAACTTAAAGCCAAAAGTGTTCTTTCATTTACCGTTGATGATGAAGAAGATTCTTGAACTTTTCTCTCTAGCTCATGTAAATTGATAAAACAAAGTCTTCTTCTTTTGATTCCACTGATACATCTGTATGAAAATTTAAAATGAGTGCAGGTGAAGTTGGTAGCAAGAAAAATGCTACTGGGATTGTTGATCCGATTACTTCAGTTTCAGCTGAAATGGATTACACGCTGCTGGCATCAGATATGCATAAGGTTCTGAACATTCCGAAATCTAATATGTTGGAAGGTGAGCCTGGAGGATCTTCATGTAATAACAACTTATCTGATGCCAAGAAGTCAAAGTCAAGAAATGGTACTTGTCTGGAAGATGTACATTCAAACAAATGTCCATTGTGCCCTTTAAGCTTCAATGCGAAGGAGTTGTTAGCCAGACATGCTTTGCGAGTCCATCAAAAAGCTGTCGTTAGTTTACTGCAGGATGTTAGCACTGAGCAACATCTGAAGTGTCGCTTTTGCGTTCATAAAGTAATGCACAGGCACCAGAAATTACTTCTGCTTCACCTTGAGAAGAAACATGCTGTTGAGTTTGTAGCATTTTTAAAGCAATCTTGGATCCCTTCGTCCATCAGTCACTTGCAGGAGGGCATGAAAAGCTTGTCTTTGTTTGGGAGTGATGTTAACTCTAAAGCGAATGAAAGTCCCTCTACAGCCATGAATGAGCCTGAAAATGATGCTGTGTTTCACATCCCTTCCAACAAACCTATCAATTTTTTAGGCAACCAACTGTCTAATATAGAAATATCTGTTGTTATTAATTCAAGAATCCCTTGTGCGCAACCTTCAAATTATTCATTTGCTAAGCGTAAATTAATTCTTGATGGATCTTGTAACTCCCAACCAAGTAGAGCATTTTTGATGAAGGAAAATGTACCACCTGAGGAACCTCTCCATGCAACTTTGGCTGGTTCTGCATGGAAACATGCTGAAGGGAAGCATTTTGCTTGTGGTAGGTGTAAAGAGGCCTTTTCATGCAATGCCTTATTACTAGATCATGTCAGTGTACGGCATCGTGGGCCTTTGCGACTTTTGCAACCCCTCTACACTTGTGGCTTATGTTCAGCATCATTCTATAAAAACAGTTTCTTAGTAAGGCACTGTTATCAACATCATACCCCAAAATAATTTTTATACCTCAGTCAAGAAGCTAAGTAGACTTGGAAAATTGTAATTGTCAAATCAGCGTGCCTTAATGTACAAATCAACCAGTGGCCGCGGCATCATGTGTTTTTTTTCCCCCCTTTGATTTGAAAGGGAACCAATAGATAAATAAACTTTTCTTTAAGACAAAATTATGTTCTTTTTTTCAAAAGTGTTTAATCACAAAATGTCATGTAAAAGATTACAGAATTGATAAAATGCTTCACAAATTCAGTGATCATAACAATAATAAATTACTTTAATAAATAATTAAACTATGCACAACACAAGTATGATAACAATAATTGTAATTTTTCAACGCACTAAAATCACCAATTGATTGGATAGGTAATGAAAAGAGCACAGCTCACAAACTTATGACAGTTAAAAATCAAAGTGTTCTTTTTGGACACTTCATACCCATGTGTAGATACCATCCGAAAATTTCAAACTCTCCATAAGCTGAACATGATTTGAGTCTGAGCTACAAAACTGTTCTAAACTTGATTTGCTCAGTCCACAGTCACTAAGATTCTCCTGGCCAAATACACAGGGTACTGATGTGGTACAATTTGTTTGTAAATTTTCCTTATCACTTGGGCTACCTGTTGCAGCTGTAAACAAAAGTATAAGCCAATTAAATAGTAAAAACAGCAGGAAAAAAAAAATTACAATAACTTTTTGACATGAACAAATACCTGGAGCATGCATTGCTTCTGAAAATGCTTTGGTTGACTCTAGATTGGCAAATGTGAGGGAGAACTGATCACAAGTTGGTTTGAGCAAATCACAGAGGCCGAGGACAGCATGAGGAAGAACTGGACCCTGTAGCTCCACAGAGTGATAACTAGTGGTCTCTACTTGTACTTTGCTAACACGAACCTGGAAACAGGGCAGAACACAAAGTTTAACATATGGTAGAATATTTTTATGAAGTATAGGAGATAAACAGACAAATAAGGCACAATCTAACTGAGTTGTGAAATGCACAAGACAAGGCAGCAGGACTATGAACCAACCTTGTTGGGCCTCAAAGTTGCACCATGGAAGGCTACAGGAGCCAGCAGTGTGGGAGGGACCCCAGCAAGAGGCCCGGTGGTGGCAGTGCATGATTTACAGTTGAGAAGAAAATTTGACAAAGCTTGGGCTTCAACACCTTCAACCAAAATCAAGGATTCGGGAGTTTTGTCTATGTCTCTTTCTTTATCAATCTTCTGCTGGACCTAAAATGTAATTAAGGAAACAAAAATATCAATATTTTGCAGTGTTTTATTGATTGATTAAATTTAAGAACATGAAAAGAAGTGGTAGTACCTGCACAGTATTCAGTCTTCTGATCTCAGCAGCTTCAATGCCCATGCTCTCAAGCCATTTGTCATTGCTTACATCATCCTCTTCAACATCTTTTTCCTCCTCATTGTCTTCTGCTTGGTTCACTTCCTCCTTTTTCACATTCTGAGAATTTGTTTCACTGTTGACAGAATCTAAAGTCTCATAGCCTGACTCACTGTCTAATGATTTTCTCTTCACTGATGTTTTCTTGAGAGGCATTGTAAACTCCACATCTATGACAAATTTAAAAAAAAAATTATTGAAGTGATATTAAAACAGAAAAGATTAGTAAGCAAGGCCAAAATATTCAAGAGAAATAATTAAGCAAACAAACCCTCATCCTTGAGCAATTGTCTAAAGCCTCTAGTTGTAGGAGTAACAAGAGCGTGGGTTTCTGAAATGCCACACATGCCAGCTGCACGGAATAGGCAGGTGAAGTTGTTAGAACATACATAGAAATAGGGGCATTGCCTAGCACGCACCAACTAAAATGAGAAAACAGGCAAAAAAATCGTTTGAAAAGTATCTTATAATATTTCATTGTAAACGTGGAAAAATAATCAGCTGATAGCACACAATACCTGAAATAGCGACTGGAAACTTTTTGCCCAGTCTCTTTGCAAGCTGTCACGAAGAGCTGGCATAGAAGCAATGTTCAGATTTGCATCACTTGACGACACTCTTGCAGCCTGCCGTGGATAAAGTTCTAACCAAGGAAGCCATGGGTGTTGCCATATCAAGCAACATTGATGAAGACGTGCATTGGGACTGGTATCAAGAGATGAACCTGTTTGACCAGTGTCCAAACATCTCGCAAACCTAAAAAGAAAAGAAAATGAAATTTCCATCCCATGGACTTTGACAAATTAACAAAATAGTCAAAACAGTTAACAAAAGTACAAACCCAGTGATCCCAGATGCTTCTTCACAGGTTCGTAGAGTAGCACTAAAGGGAAAGGGCTTTGGAGACATAAAGCGAACTTTGTTGCGCAGTGTCCAATCAATGGGCACTTGACTACCCCTTTTCCGGACAGGCTCTTCAGAGGTATTTTTCTAAACAAGTCACATTTCAACAAGAAATTAAAAATATTTTAAAGGAAGGTGAGTGAACACCAAAGCCAGAAAGAGCCAATTATGATTACCTTAGCATTTTGTTCTGAGAAAGATTTAAAAATACTTGAAAATGAAGTGGGGGTGCTGTCAGCAGATGATACAGGAGAGCTCCCAGAATTAAGAAGATGGAATAAGGTATTGTCATTTGATGCATCTAGCTCATGAAGTACAGGAGTTCCATCTGCAGACCGTTTGAGGCCGGTTGAAGATCGTTGAAAACAACTATTAACCAATCAGTAAAATCAAATTAATTTAAACATCAGGATGTAGAAAAATAAAACAGAGGTCAACTGGTCTTACTTTCTCCGTTTTGATGGCTTAGGTTCCCCATCTGATAAATTAAAACTATCTGAATTATTTAGAAGTTCTGATGCAGAACTGCTCCGACTCATTCGAGCAGCAAGAGCCCTCCGCTTCTTCAACATGTGCAGTCGCATGACTTCGTCCGGTCGCTTCCATTTCGGAGGTGTTGACGAATTAGTGTCTTCCATTTTCCCAGCTGTTAGAAAAACACAATAAATAGGAATTCATGTAAAGAAAAATATATCAAAATTGAGATATCTGTTCCATGGAGGTTAGGCAAAAGATGTTTCGCATTGAAAAATAAAATATTACGGATACCAGAGTTACTATTTCATTTTCTGATTTGTAATTGGAATAAAGTATTGACGGAACATATTTAATAAGAAATAAAAATAAGAAATGCCGTTCATTTACATTCGCATGCAGTAACTCACTTACCTTCAAAGACAAAGAGAAACAAAACAATGCACTTTTCTCCTTTTAATTGACTAGCAACAGAATATAGAAAATCCCCCACTAAAAACAAACACGCTACGACCAAGGAGAAACAACAAATTTAAAGCACACTAGATTTTACCCGGCGAGCGCCAAATTTCCGTGCTTACTTTGAAATTTCAAACCACTAGCATCATTTCTTATTCTCTCTGTTCTTCTTTGTGCCAGATGCCAACTGCCAACAGCTGACTGATGACAGAACCGTTAGCTGGGCGGGGCGGGAGGTACAAATTCCCCCATGCGCGCTCTAGCGGTCTTCCGCGACACTGCGAGGGGAGAAGGGAGAGGGAGCAGGGAGCGGGGAGCGCCTGCAGGCCGCCAGGTAGGCAACCCAACGGGCTCCGCTGCACGGCGGACCATGCGCGGGCGTTTCGGGGAGTCCTCGGCCCTCGGGAGGCTGAGGGTCGAGAATTGACAGTGGCAGGGATCCATTTGGTTATCTCCTCGTGCAAAATCAATGCGAGGGACAAAGATCGTCGATCAATTGTGAGAGCTACACAGCGGTGAAACTGCGATCCAGTTGAGTGGCGTTGATAAGATCTGTCGGGGCTCCGAGTGGTTGTTGCGGGGTTAGTTGTCGAGGACTCTCCCAACGAAAAGGACGCCATGCAGGCCCTGAGGCTGGTCACATTGCTCTCCGCCATCATCTTGCTGCAGGTAGTTTTTTAAAGTCATTTTAGATGTAAGACAGCAACAAACCACGTTGGTCCGAAAGGGTGATTCAGCCCCCGGCCCTGCGCGATAGATCGAATCCGAACAGTTCTTGTGTCACTGCGCCTCTCTCGCACTCATGGGACGTCCCATATGCGAGAGAGGCAGAGCAAGGAAACGCTGTCCGGCATGATCGAGGAATGACACGCCCCGCATGCTTCCCGCTTTCAGAATGCACCGGATGTGGCGGCAATCTCCGGAGGGAAGATGGCCCTTCCGGGACAGTTCCCGTACCAAGCCTTGATCCAGCCGCTGGACGAGTCCGGCAGAGTGGGTGCCGCCTTCTGCTCCGGCGTGCTCATCGACCCCCATTGGGTGCTCACGGCAGCCTCTTGCCTCAACAAGTGAGCACTTCACCGCGAGCAAACAAAACAGTGCGGAGCCCAAGGGCGGAGCCGGTATTCGAACCTGGGTGTCTCGACCTCTTGGTTGTTCCCAGGAACAGCGACTTCAACCAGGTGACCCTCGGCGCCTTCGACCTGTCTCTGGCCACCGAGGAGACGAGGCTCACGTACCTCACCACCACCATGGCTGTCCACGACGGCTACAACCCGGACACCAAGGAGAACGACATCGCCCTCATCAAGCTCGACGTCGCACCCGAACAGAACGGTGGGCCGTTTTTGGACTATTTCGGATGGGCTGGCGCCATGCTCGCGCCGTGCACTCAGGCAGAGGCAGTCCCGCCGAGCGGGGCCGTGCGGGCTGCCTACGCTAGACATGGCGGGCGTGGGGGGCGTAGAGGCCTACCCGAAGGGGTGCTGTAGCTGTAGGGCAGGCCTCTAAGCGGGTGCTCGTTGCGCGGGGTGTCTCACTGCTTGGCACATTTCCCCTTTCAGCCTTCATCTCGCCCGTCCGACTCCCCGCCAAGAAGCAAGCCAAAAAGAGTTTCGTCCTCTGGGACGGCGCCGTGTCCGGCTGGGGCTACACTGGCAAGGGTAAGGCCCTGGCGGGGCGAGGCCCGTGCATTTTAGATCTTAGTGCGACGCGCGCTCTTTCCCTCTCTCACCGACGTTGCCGTCCCTACAGACGACAAGACGGGAGGGAACTGGGTGCTGCGGTGGTTCGATTCGCGCGTAGAGCCCAACTTCTGGTGCAGCCTCCGCAATGGAGCGCAGGCCGTTCATGACAGCCACCTCTGCCTGTCCAGCATCTGGAAAAAGGGCACCTGCAGTGTGAGTGGACTGGAAGGACAGTGCTGTAGTACTCAAGTACTCGGGGAAGGGGGACTTGTAACTAATCGTCTGCGTCTACAGGGTGACTCGGGCAGCCCGGTGGTGATCACAGAGTGGGATGGCAAGCCAACCTTGGTGGGCATCGCAACAAATGAAGCCAGGTCTTGTGGCACCCACAACCCTCCTGTCTTCACCAGGGTAACGTCGCACTTGGACTGGATCAACAAGGCCACAGGCATTGCTCTGCGAGAGTAGTGGCCTTCAGTATGTGAGCCACAGAAGCGACTCAGGTGGATGAAAGTCTCAAAATAAAACATAAATTTTCTTTTCAATGGAAAACAAAACATTTAATTGGAAAACAACTTCTAAACATTGTAGCAAAATATCAAGCAGGGTAACAAGAACCTGCAACGTTTAAAACTTGGAAGGATTTGAACCGGTGCTTTGACAAGTCTTTCAATTGCATCTGAATATGAAAACAATCTCAATTTAAAAAACACATTTTCCAAAAGCTAGACCAGACAACACAAAGAATAAATATTAACATTAGACAACAGGTAAATATTGCAGTCTCAAGATATACAACCTAAAAGAGTGAGATATCTGTCATAAATGTAGCACTGACAAAATAAACCTTAAGTACAGTTCAAGGCCCTAATATATCACAAATCAGAAGAAACAATACTGAACGATGTAAAGAACCAGACAAGAAGTAAAACAAGATCCATTTTAAACATCAGCAGTTTCAACAAATCACAAATGCCATCCTAATTTGGGTCACAGAAAAGAGGAATGTGAAAATGTGAGGGAAGATGTTGGGATTCTTGTCAATCTCCAGTTATTGTCAGCGAATTTGGTCAAATCAAAGACTGGGTCGGATCAGAAACCAAAATATGTAGTCCTTAATAGTCGATGTTGGATTTAGGTCGACTAGCTTTGAAGTAAACATACAAGACCATAAGTACGAACAATACGCCAATGGTTGGTAAGACAATGGTGAACACCCGTTGCTTGTTCTCAATGAACTCCTTCTTTCTTTCCTTTTTCTGCTTATTGGTCTCCTTCACTTTCCCCTTTAACTGCCGCATGTTTGCCTGCAACAAACAAACAAACATATGCTGACTGCATGATTTCACACTCCCAGGGATTGACGCCCAGCAAAACTGCTACCTCAATATCTTCGCTAAAGTTCGACCAGATGAAATCTGAGTTTTTGTGAGTCTTACCTCAGCAAACTTGAAAAACCCCGACCAAAAGAGTAGTTTTCCCTCTTCTCTGTCCTGGTCCTGGTTCCTTCGAGCGCTGAAAAGTCGTCTGCCACATCAGCGAAAACAAACAACTGTTGATCTGACTATTCGCCGTCAAAGCCAAATTATTTGCAGCAACCGACTTGACTATTCGCACCCCAACCTGTTAAACTTTTCGCGCCCTGTTGCCGGTTGCAGCACGCAGCATTCCTCTGTGCACACACACACGCTGAGGACACTCCGATTACAGAGTGTAGAGTGTTCCAGGAGAGCGAGCGAACAAAGAGCTGTTGTGCGGCATAGCAAGAGCAAGGAGTGTCATTACTCTATGACCAAGACTACAGAGGCGAAAAGATCTGCCGGCACCGGCAATCTGTAGATCATTATGTACGGAAGAAATCACCACCAAATCGCATACCAGCCTTGGGGCGGTCAACGAGCCCCTGATCATCATGGCAAGAGCAGAGACGTCGAAAGCGAGTTACAATTGGATCGGTACCGAACACGTCTGGAGAAAGAAATTGCTGATCTAGAAGCCAGAAAGAAAGAGTTGTTAAGCCGTTTCCCCGATCCGGAATGTGAAAAGATATTCAGAGTCTGGGGAGGTGAGAGAAACAGCAGACTTTGTTTCACTTTGTGTTGTGTTGTTGACTGCCGCACGTTTCTCATTTCCAGGTTCTGACATTGTAGATTCGTCGGAAACCGTCTTCTGTATAAACTTCCTCCCCCATTTTCGAGGAAAGCTTCAGGGAACGTTCACATTAGGTGTCCAGAAAAGAGGAGAAGGTGATCATCCCTGCTGAACTGCAAATCATCCACAATGTTCAATTTTCTTTGCTCCTTTCAAGATACATTGTTTTTAATTTACAGTTTGGTTTCTGTCCCACCACAATCTTCCATATTCCATCTCGTGCATTGCAGAACGAATTGCTCGTGAGAAGATAGACTCTATTGACAAACTATCTTCATTTATTCGTTGTTTGCAACAAGAAATAAACTTATATGTTTGGAGACGAGAGCAATTTAATGAAGCTAAGGTTTGTCCTATTTGCATCTTTAGATTTTTGACTGAAATAATTTTTATTATTAACATTATTTTGATGCGCTCCTGACCTGCTTTCAGGAATTGGTTACTCCGTCATTTGGTATATTTCCTAGTATCAATACCACTAGGGTAATGCTTGCATTCCATGTCAATGACAGTGTAGGATCAGATCTATCAAAAGCTTATGTGCATTTAACTTATAAGTCACATAAATATCTTCCTGAAGAGCCTGTATTCCGATTTAAAGGTAAGTTCAGGCTTTTTACTAGAATACCTTGTGGCAGTAAAATATTCATTTCAAGAAATTGTATTTTTATCAGGTGGTGATAAAGTGGCCCAGGAGACATTCAAAGAACAGCTTACCATCTTGGAATGTATGCCCCTTAAAGAAGCTATTATAACTGCCTTTCCACGTGCAGATACTTCGATGGATTCGAATGTAAGTTATTCATCTACCTACTTGCCTTTTTTGACCTGATCAGTGAATATCTAAGAATGAACTCCAATGATTGATCCACAATTTTCTGTTCTTATTAGACATGCTTCCTGTCACAGCCTGGCCCTCAAATGCTAACAGAGGGAAAAGAGAAATCAATTCCAGAGCTTAGCACTCTGGCTAATAAGAAACGGAGATCAACTTTGGAGTCAAAAACAACGTCTGAAGATGAAAATGTTGCTACGCCATCACCAGCTGCTCCTGAACCAAACCCTAGGGGAAGAGGCAGAGGCAGAGGGACAGTGAGAGGCAAAGGTGCTGTAAGAGGCAAAGATGCTGTAAGAGGTAGAGGTAGGGGCAGGGGGAGACCACCAGGCAGAAGGCAATGAGGAGATGTCTTTTGCCAGTGACAAATTCTTATAATTGCAGGCAGTGCAGTATTATTGTTTTCATTTAGTTAAGTCAAAGTCACCCTATATTTGTAGGTTTATTGCCAAATTTGTGCCATTTGTTTTGTTTTAGGTTTTATTAAGTTGATTTTTCCTGAAGTAGAAGGTAATGAGGAGTTGTCCTCTGCCAGTGACAAAAATTCTTACAATTGTAGGCAGTACAGTATTATTGTGCCAGTGACAAAAATTCTTATAATTGCAGGCAGTACAGTATTATTGTTTTTATTTAGTTAAGTCAAAGTCATCTTATATTTGTAAGTTAATTGCCAAATTTTTGCAATTGCAATTATTTTGCAATTGACTAAGGGGATTTTTCCTATTCAATTTCCAATCATTCTGTATATGTTGACTCATATGTCAGTTATGATTATATATGACCAAATAAAACTCTAATTTTCATATTTTAGTTGTATCTGGGCTCTTTCATCCCTGACACAGTCATACTGGTCCATCAGTATGATTCAGCGTTGAAAATTGCAAGAAGTTGTTATGATATCGGAAGGTTCTGTTCATGAAGTCAAATTTTTCAGGGGAGAGGTTGATTTTGCACAACTTAAGAATATAGAAACCTTTCATTTTAATCACTAAGTCCTGATATTCTTCATACAATGAGTTAAATAATATGACTAGTTTAAAAGTGAGCTTCTCCCAGATGAGGAAACCCACTGATACAATCAAATTGATTTTCTTTTTCCCCTCTATTCAGATGGTTGTTTCATATTTACAATGCCACATATTAGTGCAATCTGCTCTTCTAGAAGCCTGAAGGAAAGTTTCAGCACCACTGTTTCCATCAGTAATCTATTGAAGCTTCTCCAAACACTATTCATGATTCTTGAGGAATTGTTGATACTGATCTTCATCCATGAGCTCATCTACCTCCTGTGGCTTACTTAACTCGACCTTAAATAACCAACCTGAAAATTTAAAGCACATTGAAATGGGTGGACATTTTTTAATATCAAACAAGTAATAAAATTTTATGTCACGGTACCTTTCTCATAACAGGACATGTTAATAAGACCGGGTTTGTCTTCAACTGCAGTATTCTTTTCCACAACCTTTCCTGTTACTGGACTGTATAATTCTGAAGCAGCTTTAACACTTTCCAAGGCTCCGCATTCCTCTGAAGTTGGGATAGGAAAAACAAATGTATGAAAGTAAGACTGAAAGTGATTGATTGGCATAATAGAATTAAAATTATAATAAAATATTTTCAAACCTTTTTGTGTTACATCTTGACCAACATCTGGAAGCTGAGCGTAAACAACATCACCCAAGGCATCCTATGGTCAGTAGCAACACAATGCTAATTAAAGGGTACTCTGTCACAGGACTGTTTTCAGTGGAACAAGCAAAATTTCTATGAAGTAATTACCTGAGCATAGTGAGAAATTCCAACCGTGCCAACTTTACCATCCATTTCAAGCCACTCGTGCTTATCAGTATATTTTCGCCCTGAAAAAAAAAAAAGATAATTACTAATCAATGATGCAATCAAAATTTTGAAACAAAACAGATTTGTTTTATTTTTTAGAAAGTTGGCAATGAGGCAACATAATATGGTGTCACTTCATAAGTTATCAATGAAGTTATCATGTGACCTCACGTTCCACGATAACTGATTGCCACCAACCACTCCAACCATGGGCAAGAGATGCAGGGGCAGGGCCCTCACAGGGCAGCAAACAGCACAACAGGCAACACAGTTCATGGCTGCGTAACAGAATGTTGCTCTCCACTGCTGCTTTAATGCATTTCAAAATCACCAAAATAAATTAGGAGTACTTGGCTGGTAGGTGAATGATGCTACAGTTATGGGTAAACAACTGTAAATTTGATTGACAGTTTGTATTCAGATAATCAGTGGGAGAGAAAAAAAATAATTGTAGATACAGTGAATCTTAGTGTTTAAAACCTTTAAAGAATTATTTATAAGCAATGCAGATGGAAGACAACTTGTGCATAGATTAATTCAAAATTTGGATAATTTAAATAACAAATAACAAGTGGAAGTGAAGGTATCCCTCTAAATTCTTAAAAGTAGTTACATACCATAGTTTAAATGTGTTGTGCTAAATAATCTCGCTTGACACACATCTAAGTCCCCGGTTCTACTCCTCGTGCTGTTGGTTAGGCACTTGCTGAACTGGAAAACTCTGCCAATACGCTGCGTGGCTCTCAAAGCAGCATGCACTCCGGATGCCATTTTCAGATCTATGCCTCGTGGCCCGTCCCGTCCTGTGCTTGTGTATTTCCGACGCGACGTACAAAACACAACTGGTCGTCCCGTCGGATGTCGGATTGTGAACATTAACCCGTCCCGTCGTCTGCTTGGAACTTCGTCTGCTGCTGCTGGGCTGTTGCGTCACCCGCGCATGCGCTAAGGCAGTCGGACCAACCTCGGGCATGAAAACATTACGTGGCGGCATCTTTCCGAGATAAACGAAAACCCGTTTTGAAAGCAAGATTTCATCTCGGGCCGTTCATTCGACTGATAAATTCATTTTCAGAACCACAACCCTTCTGATTAAATATTACGAAACCACGGCTCTTATTCTTCCAAGGTGTGGCAGCTCCTGCCACGATTTAAACACCCCCCGCCGAGACATTCCCTCCCAGAACGCAAGTCGCAAGTCGCGATAAAACGGGAGAAAAAAAATTGATACTTATCGGGAGAAGTCGCAGAGAAAGTCGGGATTGCTTTCAGTTTACCCTTCCAATGTGGTGAGCTTAAAAAAAAAAACCGTCCCCATACTTCCAATGTCAGAATATTTATAGCTTTTCAAATTACAGCCGTTTCCATTTTTATCAATTGTCAGGCGAGCTGTAATTGTGATAGGTAGCAGGACAGGCCGACCATCAAGATCCATGTATCTGTGACATACATACACTCCCTTGCTAGCAGAGTGTTGTTTGTCACTTGGGTGGCACGCTGGCGCGGCGGGGGCGGGGCGGGAGCCGTCATAGTGTCGCAACCGTTTTGTTTGTTCCACGGAAAGAGACAGATGCCCCACATCCCTTCAACTTCTCCAAGATAATTCATCATAATTTTGGGACTGAGGAATTTAGACGGGTTGTAATTGAATGAGGCCTGCCAATGTGGAATAGTAAGCTCGTTTACGATGTGCCTGCCGCCTGGCAATCTGATTACTGCACTTCTCTTTCTTTGAGGCCACACTGCTTGCCCGCTATCAACATCAGGGCCGGGTCGCCGCGGGTCAGCGAAGTCGCTGTCTCTGTCCGCGGGGGGTCCAGGGAATCACCACATCATCAAAGCATGGGTTGCGCAGATCAAGGAAAACTGAGCCAAGGAAGGAACATGTTGGCATGCAAGTAGCCTGTACTTTGCTTGTCATCAGGGGAATAAAGACAATAATTCTAATGATGGAGAATGATGCATTTTCATGGTCATAATTTCAGAGGAAAACTGCACAAAACATAGCTTCTTCACAAACAATGAAAAATCATTTGAAGTAGTTACAGATATCGCAATTAATTAAATTGATGTCATTAACTAAAATGAAAATGGATTGAACACAACTTAACAATTTATTATCTTGCATTTCATGAGCACAATGATTGGATGTGAAAAGAAACCCATGGGAACTGTTGGACCTCAGTCCGATACAAAGATTAATTAATACATATAATAAGTTTAAGATTACTTATAGCATGGTAAACAAATCACTGTCTAGCTAAAGGCCGATTGTGTAAGACCGCCCATTAGGATTATGGATAGACCCAGGGACAGGTTTAGTGATGCACCACTCATACCACACATTTTTGGAATTATTCAGACGCCAAAAATTAACTTCCAAAACATCACCTTCTTTGACGTGCAGTGGTTCCTGGAAATAAAAGAGGACAGCTAAATAAATTTCATTTTTAGGAACATAAGTAAATTAATAAAAGTATTACAAGAGAAAGATAGAAGCCAGATGCCAGTTATTCACATGAATGTTTGTACTTACTCTGATAGGGAAGAATATAGGGAACCAGCTGAACATGCCAGGTGAGTGGGTTGCAGGGTTTATGCTCAGCATGACATCTTTGTAAAGAACAGTTTCAAAGTAACCAGCAAATCCATGCAGCACACCATTCTGCCTGATTTTAAATTGCACAGTTTTGAATCTGGTGTTATCAATTGGCACATCTGAAATCATGCACAAATTCAATGGATCATTGACAGAAATGAATACAGACATTAATAAAACAAATGACTGCATATATAAAGAGTTACCAGGATTAGGATGGTCAAATTGAAATAGTGGTTGAGTATCAGACAGTTCTAGTCTGTTCTGTTGGTGAACCACATAAGGTGTTTCAAAATGCTTCAAAGGATGTTTGTCTTGTTCTTTACTTAATCGAACCTAAGAGGAGAGAAGAAAATTATGAACTAACAAATACTGAGGATAACAAAAATATGTTGAGAGCAGTGGGTTAGAAATAAAAACATTACCTCATTGTAGAGTTTGGATGATTGAATAGGGCATATAAATGAGGTGTACTGGCTAGGAATGCTGATACCATCATCTCGAAGGAACTTCTGAGCACCATCCAAACATTCCGGTGACAGTTCATTGTCACCAAAAGACCCGAGAAGTTCAGAAACAAGGATATCTGCTTTCTCTGGCGCCTCCCAGTAGCGCATATCACAGGATACAACAGTTACCTTATCATGCCATGTTTCCTCCTTCTGAGACAAGAGTCTGGAACACCATATTACATTTAGAAAATGATTGTAACTAAAGGACAGAAAAGAAAGGTGACTGAAATGACATACGTAACAATGGCATTGGGATTCTTCTCTACAGCGTAGACTTTCACCTTCCGCTCAGCCTTGTCAGCTGCATTAAGTAAAGCTCTAACCAGAGGACCTCTACCTGCACCAACAACCATCACAGTCCTAGACAGCAACACGGAAAGAGAGAGGTTAATTATCAATGTGAGAATTATAAACATCAACAGGCCATACAGAAAACCTTACAATGATTTTGTTTCTTTCTGGTCTTCTGGTATTCTGTCCATGATGGCCTTAAGCATTGCAGCCTGATATTCAGAGTACTTAACAGGATCTTTCTCAAAAACTTCATAGGTATGAGATTCAAGGTTGTCCATCAAAGGCTGGAGTGGACATTGTAGGAAGTCCTCATAGCCACGAGCAAATCCAACCAGAGGATCAGTCAGCTTCACACTCTGGGTAAATAAAAAGTTAGAAAAGTCAGACACTTCACAGCAAGACCCAATGGCACTCAAGATACTCTACATACCTGCCAAAGATGCTCAATGTACTGCTGATAGTATTGTACTGAGCCATGGACAACAGAGCCTGTGACCACAGCCTGCACGCCAAGAGGAACAAATTGACGCAATAGGTTCTGATGTGCCCGAGACAAGACTGGGTAGCCCTTCTTATTGGTCAAGAACAAAGATGTTGGAATAATAAGACTGCGCACAGGCTCACCTAACCACCGAGTAATTTCTTCAGCAGATGGTATGTCAGGGGTCACTTCCAGAGCTACCCCCAACCGTCGATTGTAGTTACACACTGATCTGAACACATTCCACCTAAAAAATAATATTTCAAGGAGAAATTAGAAATGATGAAAAGACTTATGACGAATAAAAATGGGGAACACACTCACCATTCCCATGGATTGTTATTCTTCTCCTTCAGCAAATCCTCCTTATTTGGAATGTCCTTTCTATATTCCATAGCTTGGACCATAGGGCTTTCCATTGGAACACGAATCCATACCTGAAGGATAAGATAAAATGTTCCATAGAGAAAATTGAAATTCAGATTTTAGTGTTGCTCAAAGAGCTCTAATCATTACCTGATAACTGTATGGGTTCATGACTTTAGAAAACAGTGCTCTGGCTAGATTAATATGATTAAAGGATGTTAAGGTCACGGAAATGGCACACAGGTTGAGATGAGAAGCAAAGGTCATTTCTTGAAGTAATGCCTCTTCACATTGGCGGCGGTAAACATGATCCTCAGAATCCACATCAATGTATGGGGAAATCTTACCAACAATCATGTTGGTCCAATCTGTTAAAGAAATAGATTGAGTAACATATTTTGCCACTAAAATCATTATTGTAATAAAAACAAGTTAATTCGTAAGTAGTACCTGAGCTCTGGAGCAGAAGATCGGACCGAGTAAAAGGTCCTTGCCGATCCTTAGCTTTGCCTGATAAAAATTCTCTTTTATAGCGAGGATGGACTATTGGCATCATACTAAAGTCATATCTGAAAAGGATTATGGCAATAGAAATAAGAAATACAGTGGAACAAATTACACAATGATTGTGCTTTCTGAATGAAAGAACCATACTTATTTTCTGCCGAATAAGCCAAACACTGGCGGATGTCTGGGACACAAGCGAAGTCCAGACCGCACGAGGCTTTGCGATTCTGCACACTGTCCTGAGCCATGTCAACTGGAACAGAAAGATATTTGGAAATGTACTGAGGACCTGTTTACAATACCTTGAGGAGAAAGGGGAAACAACAATGGAAATTGACTCTAGAAAAAATGAAACGGCTCATTAATCAAATGAACAAAGAAATGGCACGCTGAGTTTGCAGGCATGACAAATTAACATGCAATATTTGGTGTCAGAAATGTTATGGTTTGGTGTTTGATAAAGGCCGGGTGCGATCAAGAGGTTAGTTTACGATATATACATACCGTTGCCGATAGAAACAAGAAAATCCAACAATAGCGGTGCAAAATAGTCCTTGAAGCAAACCAATGGTAATTTGAGCTCACTCAATACTGTACTTACGGTAAAATTATCGTCACGATGGATACTAAAACTAGATAAAATGCGGTGAACCAGCACCACGCTCCTTCGGCGCCTTCTTCGTTGCGGGGTGAGTGAGAGAGAAAGGGCACAGGCTGGAAGGGGAGGAGAGAGAGAGAACGAAAACAATGACAACAAACAGATTCGCCAACAACAAATGAAACCACCTTTCCATAATTACACTCTTTACGACAAAACCGGTTCTGAAAAGTCAATCTTAAAACTTTGAGACGAGTTCTAGCATTTATCTTTGTGTGAGTATCAATGTTTCAGACATATTTAGAGATCCCTCTAATCTCTAGTAGTTCCTTATGTAGTGTTTACTAGTGTTCACCCTGATCAGTGAGTTAAATTTCTCATCTTCTAGTTTGTGTGGATGTTGTTGTTGTTTGTTCGTGAGGGACAGGGGGGTGGGGTTGGAAGGGAAAAGTCTGGAAGCCTAAAGACTGACGTGGGTTTTTCTGTCCCTACTTCCTATTGTGCCCAGTTGTACATTCATTTGAAATTCGCGAGTTCAGCAGATAATCCATAAAATGGCTTACATCGACAGTAGTAAGTTTTATCTTCGGATATACTTGCTGTCAGGAGATCTTTCGAAGTGACAACTTTAGGTTATACTGTTTGTAACCTTGTCCATTTTAAGCTGAGATTTTATGTGTTGCATTATTTTTCTAGACGGAACAATTCACAACTCTATGCCATGGGGAGTCTCCAAAGTAACGGCCATGTTCTGGGGCTTCTTCAACATAGTTTATTTGTTGTAAGTATCACATGGCCTTCCCTCGCTGTTTCTCCTATATTTTGTATAAATTCATTGGAAGGATTCAATTTAAATGATGTTATGAGCATAATTTAAATCTTGTTTTGAAGCAGTGGCATTTATTATCCATGTGTACTTTACTTATTTTTATAAACATTTTACAGCTTCACCACTTTGATTCCTGGTCTCAGGAAATCAGATGGCGAGAGTGTTAGCTTCAGAGCACCTGGAGGCGGCGGAGGTGGTGGTGGTGGAGGAGGTGGAGGCTGGGGCGGTGGAGGTGGCGGAGGGTAAGTCCATAACAAGTTAATAAGTTGCATATTTTTTGTCGTTCAATTTAAGATATCTATTTAACAAGCCTGCTTCTTTTCTTTTGTCAGCCCTCCCCGACCCCCGAAGCCAAGAGGAAACTTCCGCTCATTTGGTGATATGTTTGGCCAAGGATCTGTGAATGCAGGAGGTTGTCCTGGTGGAAGCTGTGGTAGAATGTGAGATATTGCACAGCCTGTCATGTTCAAGCCTGAGCTTCGTTATTTTCATAAGCTTTATAACATCATCTTTTATCTTTAAATTAATTTTGGCATGGTTCTGGCTAAGCCCTAATTTATTTGCCTGTAACTGTCAAATCAGTGATAGAGGCCACACTGAACTGTGAGTGGAATGAAGTTCATTTGCATCCATGATTGACACATAACAAGAGGAGTCTCTTTTGTACATACATTCACAATGTTAAAATTAAATAATTTTGATTTTCTTTGACTATGTTTGATGCTACATTCCAACTTCATTTTTTCATTGCATAACACCTTTAAAAAAATCATTATTATTATTATTATTGCCAACATTTGGGTGTTTGGGGTGCAGAATTAATTATGTCAAGAGCTTCTTTTTCTGTGAGTAATGTTTGATTTGCATTGGCTGTTTTTAGTACCATGAATGGCCTTGTTCCTTACCCACATGTTGTGATATATTTGAACTTGTGTAAATACTTTTAAAAATAAATGTTGAATATTGTTCTTCAAATCTGATTGTTTTGCTAAAACCCAATAGTGAAAATAAGATGAACAGAAGAAATGAAGATTTTACCACCCTTCAAGTACATAAGTTTTTTTTAATTTATTCTATTAGACAGTTTTCTACAAGGTTTATGCCATCATTATTCTACTTACAAAATAAAAATCTCATTTTAAAAAATTGCTTTGGTCTCCTCATCACATATGATAAAACTGAACCATCAAATCATGGAACATAAGGGGAGGGTAAAAAGGGGTCGTTAACTGCCAACGCGACTTTGACTGGGGCAACTGGACGGTCGCACGACACCTAGACCAGACCGCCGCGCCATGCCAGGGCAAAGCCCAGCAAAGTCGAGGCAAGGGGCAAGGTCACCTAGCAAACGCGTTCACTTGGTGGGCTTCTTGAGAAGCAAGGGAAGCACCACAATCGGGTCGTGAGTCTTTGGGTTGTCCGTGTAGATACTCCATGTTCTGTTCACGCAATCGAAAATGCCTGGAAGCGCAGACAACGGCACGTTAGAGTCACTCACGAACACAACAAGTAATTGGTGTCGCTTGCGCAACTGTCCCACTTACCCACGGTGACGGTCTTGACGTAGTCGTCGTCGCCCGCCTCCCTGAATATGGTGTGCTCGGGGTGCGACTGGTCGCCCAGCAGCCTGATGACGTCGTTGAGCGTGGTGGTGTCCTTCTGGGACTCGTAGGTGGCGTACCGGGCGTCGCTGCTCGACACGATGGCTCCCCCGACCTCGGGGATCTGGAGTCTGAGGTACCTGCAGGGCGGACGAGACGGCCTTTAGACTCGAGACGCCACCACTCGCAGGGCAGGACGCAGGGAGACGACGTACTTGTTGCAGTGGAAGATGTGCTCCCCGGGCGAGCAGGTGAGGATGCTGAGGGGGCTGCGGCAGTCACTGCACGCTGGGCCCACCTCCGCGTTGTGGAACAAGCGGTCGCCCTCCTGGGCCAGGAAGGTCATGTTGATGGACACGGCGTCGCCCGCGCCGCAGCCCTCGTCGCGCAGCACTTGCTGGGCGGCGGCGAAGTTCTCGGCAGCCAGCAGCGCCCGCGTTAGGAAGTGGCGAGCTGGTGGAGGGAGAATCCGAGCATGCAGGTTACACCGGCCGGTCTGTCTCTCTCGCTCTCATGGAGCTCATGGAGGGTGTGAGACAGACAGCGTCCGGTGGACCGCAAGGGTACTTACGTGTCCTGCCCGCCGCCAGCCTCGCAGCCTTGATGATGTTGACGGAGAACACCATGCCGTGGTGGTTGTAGCCCATGCAGAAGCCGGGCAGGTGCCCCGCGTAGCACAGCGCCGTGAACTTCTCCTCGGACACCTTCCAGCGGCCCTGCGGCTCGGCGGACACGATGTGCGCGGACACGAGGTACACGTGGTTCAGCGTCTCGGCCAGCGCGTCTTCCGTGTGACCCAGGAGCTCCTGCAACGCGTATCCACAGTTCTCGCTCAATCAAGTCCGCCAAGCCAAGCGGCTAGCGCCTGCCACGCGGAGGGTAGGCAACACCCAGCGCTCCCGCGTGAGGCGGGCCTGTCGCCGGGCTGCTCGGCAGGCTGCTCACCTGGCCGGGGTGGTTCACGCAGACCGTGGAGCAGCCGTTGGTCGCCTGGCTCGCCGCCCTGCCGGCCACGTTGGGGGTGATCTCGTCCATGTGGAGGAGGAACAGCTGCGGCAAAGCGAGAACCAGTTACGATCTTCCGCCGGGGGGCGTCGTCCATGCCGTCGTCGCGGGGGAAGGCAACGCACCTTGTGGAACGGCACCTTGGCGCCGTCGGCCGTGCCCTGCAGCTCCTGGATGTACTGCGGGAAGTTGGCCTTGACGGCGGCCAGGGTGTCCTCGTAGGCGCGCCGCCCCGCATCGGTCTCGTACACCGACAGGTACTCCTCGAGGGAGCGCGACGCGGCGAGGAAGCTGTGGATGATGCCGCTGAAGTTCCTCCCCTGTGCACGGAGGCAGGCAGGCGGTGAGCAGAGGACAAGACACGCAGGCAGAGGGGCTGAACTCGCAGTGTCGCGGTACTCACCACATCGAAGCCGACCTCGTAGTGAGTGCCCTTGGTGTAGAGGATGGGGATGGCCTGCCGGCGCCCGATCCGCTCCACGACGGGCATGGTGGCGTCCTCGCTGCTGGCGGTGGTGGCGTGGCGCCGGAAGTCGTCGGTCACCAGAGCGGTCACCTGTGCGGCCACGGCGTCGAGGTCCGCGTCAGCGTGGACCAGGCCCTGGGCCAGGCGGAAGGGCACGTCCTCGTCGAGCCGGCACTGCACGGCCTGCGCGTCGGCGTCGCTCGGCCAGCCACCCTCGTCGGACGTGACTGCGACAAAGCACGGCCAAGGGGCGTCTTAGTGCCGGGCGCGGCGCGGCGCGGCGAGTGGAGAGGGCTGGGCAGGGCCGGCACGGCACAGCACGGCAGGCGTCGCGGGGGTGGCGGCCGCGGCCGGCCACGGCCCATAACGCGATGACGTCAACAAGTAGGTCGCCGGCCCGAAGCCCGCGACGCCGTCACTGAACCACGCCCGAACACACGGCGCCAACCCAGAGCGAAGCCCTGGGCCAAGCCCTGGCCAAGCCCTGGGCCTTCCCCGCGCACGCGGCGTACGCGCACCAACGCGTCACCCGGGATAAGTACCCGCCAACAACTCGTTGGACTGCCCACAGGTCGGCGCTGCGCGCTGCGTACCGCGTGGGGGCGGGGCCTCCCCACGACGATTGTGTCACCGTGTCATCGTGTCGGGGTGCAAAGCGCGCTGCGCGCTGCAAAGCACTTCAACGGCGCGGCCGCGCGGCTCAGCAGCCCGAGGCCCTACTAGTGCCGGCCCCGCAGGCCGCCTCCGAACTTCATCGCTCTGTTTCCCTCTCGCTCCCCTGCAAGACGCCCCACGAGGAAGAGAGACAGGGTGACCAAGTTTCGGACGCAGCCTGCTGCACCCTGCCCGGACCCCCGCGTCCTTGGCGCGAAGTGTCCCTACGGGATTATATTATTTGGACCGGGCATTCCCGAAAGTGGAGCTGCCAAAGTTTCAGCGCCGCGACTCTGCATGTGCGAATGATTCACCGTTCACGAGACATTGACACAAACTTTTGAGAAAAGTGGAAAGTACCAACGCGACGGTATCGCTGCGCTTACGTCGGACTGGTGGGCGCGCGCTCCTGGCGCTGCTAGGGCCTCTCTGCTCTAGGACGACTATTGCACACTGAAGAGCCACGGGCGGCGATACGGCGAGACGCGGCGAGGAGGCGAACTAAAGCGTTTGGCATGCTCACGCGGCTTACGCGGCCGCCGGGGCTGCACGCTCGTTGTGCCTGTGTGTGTCTGCACACACCGCGCTTAACACTCACACACGCGCCATGCGGTTTGTGCAAGAGAGAGAGAGAGAATGAGAGAATCCCGTGTCATGGCAGGCCGCGCCGCCGCGCCGCCGCGCTATGCGCCTCGGTGTTGATAGCACTGATACCAACCCCACGGGAAGTCGTTATCGCACTTGTGAGTGTCGTCTGCTTCTTCTCCGACTGACTGCCGGCCGGCCGGTCGGCTCGGCTCGGCCCGCCGCGCAGACTAGCTAGCTGTAGTCGGAGGGTCATTGGGGTTCACGCCGCACGGACGGACGACTCGTCGTTAAAAACACAACATCAGGAACAACGAGAAGAAAAATGAAATTTTCCGCGCTGGGCCGCCGCGGTTCCGCTTCCGCGCGAGTTCAAGTTTCCTCGCGTCCAGTTTCCCGTAGTCCACCGCGGCGGCCGCGGCGTGCGTGCGGCGCGTGCGCCTGATGGCGCCTCGGATGGCCACTTTGACCTGCCGCACAGAGCGCCGTCACGGAAGGGTTCGGGAAGGAGGCGCAGGATGGCGCCGTTATCTCGCTATCTCGTGTCACTTTGTGTCACTTTGTGTGTCGCTTTGTGTGTCACTTTGCACAGGGAGTAACCGCCGCCACGCCGCGACCGCAAAACCGCGTGCCCGCCCATAATGCTCGACGGCAACCTCGACAACCTTGGCCGTGCATGACCCGTGCGCCTGGCGGTCGTCCTGGCCGCCCTGGCCGGCGTTACGCAAAAGGGACGCGGGGCCCGCCGCGCCGGGGCCGGTATTCGAACCCGGGCACCGGCCTGCCGGGCACACGGCGCGGAGACCGAGAGTGAACCGAGTCCTGCCTCGCTCCCGAACCGGAGCAGCGAAAGCTGCATGGGCGAACCGGGAAGTGAACGCGGGCAAGGCGCCGGCTAAAGGGGCCGGACTACATTCGCCTGCAAGCTAATTTCGTCGCTCTGTCTCTCTCGCACTCGTGGCGCGTGTCGGGCGTGTCGCAAGGGTGCGAGAGAGACAGCGAGCTCGGCGGCGCGCAGCGCTAATAGTCGACGCACGGCGCCTGTTTCCCTGTTTCCAATGCAGGACAGCTGTCGCCGCGACCGCGTGCCGCCACGACCTGTCGCTAGGCACTCACTGGGCGCCACCAACTGTGGTAAACCACAGTGGGACAGAAGACCGGTGCACGTAGCCAAATCTCTAGACGCGTTTTGAGCTCCAGAGTCGCTAAATTGGACTCGAACCGAACGTGCGACCCCACCAATTGATTCCTCGTTCGGAGAGCAATCCATTGGTGGAGTCACACGTTCGGTTCGAGTCCAATTTAGCGACTCTGGAGCTCAAAACCTGTCCGGGATTTTGACCGCCTCCACCGGTCTTCTGGCCCACCGTACAAACTCGAGCCCTAGCCGCCTGCGATTGGAAATCCCTCCGTGACCGCGATGGCCGTCCTGCACCTCTGGCAACCTCTGGCCGTCTGTCACCATGACGCACTCGCCGACGCGGCCGTCCGACGCACGCCCCAATGAATCAGAAGTTCTCACTCGGATTCTGGCAACTCGGCTCGCGCAGGCGCCATAATCATTAACGCGTGAGTATCCGATTTGCAGGCCTCCCGCGAAGGCGTCGACGTGATTACCCTTCTGCGAGCGACCAAATGGCGCGTCTCTCCGTCTCCCTCCCGCGCCGAGTGCAATTTGCTCGAATTTGCCGCTTTGGCGTGCCGGCGTGCCGTGCGGTGCCGCGCTGTGCCGCGCTGTGGAGTCCGAATATACGAGCGTCCGGCAGGCCCGCCACTGCGATGTTGGATCGTGCTTGGGAGCCATTCGAACACTCACGGCTTGTTTCAATGTCTCTGTGGGGAACTGTTGCTAGGCGGCGTGCGTCCGGCCACAAGAGGACTTCCCCCTCCCCCTCCCACCTCTGGTACTCTTTACCCCAATAAATAGGGGAATGCAAATGTTGGCTCCCAGCTCCGAAACTCGAAAATGATGCAGCCGGCTTATCGCATACAGTACCGAACCAGACCAGCACGTGGGTGAAGTCACCGCTGTGGGAATGAATGGCTGGCCCCGCCCCGTCGTGTCCAGGCCGTCCGGACGGCGCGATTTGAATTCTGGAAACTCACCATCGTTCAAGATGACCTGCACGGGCATGGCGGCGGCGGTGACTTTGGCGAGGCGCCGCGAGCAGCTCCGCGAACAGCAGCAGCGAGGACTGAAGCGACTGAAGCGGCCCCCGGAGTCGCAGTGGCACTATATACCTCCTGTGCTGGCACGCTGTTGGAACGGTGGAGGAGGAGGAAGAACGCCCGGAGCCGCTGGACTCCGGGGACCCAAGCGCCGGAGGGTCCTGAGGGAACGGGGAGGGGGGGGGGCTTGCAGTGGGGGCACGAGCCCCACTGGTGCCACTACGCGTCATGGCCCACGCGTTCACGCCACTGTGGTGGACGCGCCATGAGAGGAACAAGGGTTCGTCGACGAGACCACCGGGGAGGAGATCTAGTTCGGATGAATTGAGAAGCTGAACTCTGGGGAACGACTCGGCGCGTACTTCCCGGGGCCGGGGCGGCCGGGGGCGGAACTGGACGAGGTGGGCGTGGACGGACGGGCCTGGGACGGGCCTGGGACGGGCCTGCCCTCAGCCCTCCATCGGACTGGCGAGTCATCAGCAACCAGCTCGCAGTACGGAAAACTACGCGGCAGTCTGGAAATTTTGTGGCCGGCTTTTGTCTGACGGAAGCGTCCAGCGTCTTAATGCACGCAACTTGAAGGGGGAAAGGACTGAGTGACTGGAGGCAGCAGACAGCATCAAGTGCTCGCGGCTACGGTGACTCCAGGCTCTCCAGGCTCCAGGCATTACCGTCCGCCCGTCCGGCTGGAGAGTCATGCATCTGAGTCAACCGGCCAATACAGCGATAAGGCGCAACGCGTTCCGCGCACGCCAGCGCCGCTCTGTCTCTCTCGCACCCCTCGGAACCGCGGAACGCCCCACGAGTGCGACAGAGACAGAGCGAGCCACGGCGGCACCGCGTCACGGCCTGTTCGGACTCCACGTCCTGGGAGGAAGACGTCCCTGCAGGCTCATCCTTTCGTCGCTCTGTCTCGCTCGCACTCGTGGGCCGCTCCGTAGCGACACTGTTCTGTGATGTGCTCGTCGCTCGCCCTGCTTGGCACCTGGTTGCCTCAAGCGCCTGGCAGGTAGGCCAGCAGTCGGTCCCGCGAGGCACCCGTGTGGAGACGGCGGCCTACCTTGCCCCTGCGCGTCTGCGCTCGCTCGCGCGTTGCCAGCGGTTCGGCAGGGCGTTTTCTGCCTCTGTCGCACCTGCCATGGACAGGGGGCGTGGAGCAGTGCGAGTGAGAGAGGGAATCACTCGATGGCTGCCGCGGCTGCCCCGGACTAAAGCGCTAAAAGCGTGCCAGGGGCGAGGTAGGCCACCGTCTCCACGCCGGTGCGTCGTCAGACCGACAGCCGGCCTGCCTGCCAGGCGCTTCAGGCTCTTGACTTGACTTGAGAGGCTGGACCACAACTGATCTTATGCCGGTCCGGGCCCGCTTCGGGCTGGTCCTTCGAGCCTCTCTGTCTCTCTCTGTGCCTGGACTGCCTACCCGCCGGGCACCAAGGCTGGCAAGTGATGGGAAGCCAATCCCTCGGCCGTGTCGCCTGCTTCTGAACGAGCTTGTGCGTTCACTCGGACGGCATTGCGCATGATCAAAGCACCTCGCCGTGGATGGCGGTATGGCACGACTCTGCGACATGCCGACAGAACACGCGTCGCCGCGGCGCGCACTTATCAACGGCGTCGCCCGTCACGTGGTTCGAACCCGGGGCACTCTCCCACACCGCCAGTCAGTCAGCAGAATCCCGGAAAGTCCGCGCCGATCCGCCGCACCGTTAATCGGCGGTTTAATCCACACGCCATTGTCTCGGCGGCAACAGTTTCTCACTTTTTCCCTTCATATCCATAGGTTTGCTGCTGCCCGGTGCCCGCGCGGTGGGCGGGCGGAGGGGAAGGGAGGGGAGGGGCTTCACTGAGATGCGGAAGACAGACGCACCGCAAACAAATGGAAGTACCGAGTGCGGCAGCCGGGCGACGCGGCGACGGCGTGCGCTGAGCGACAGAGAGGGACAGAGAGTGCCTTCCGACGATTATCCGTTCCGTTTGTTGCGTGTAAAGCAGCAGCCCGCGGCGGTGCCGGTGGTGCCGGCGATGTCCCGTGGTCCGCATAGCGCCGCATAGTTGGCGCGCATGGCCAGGCATGCCGCCGCGGCGATTGTCGATTCGATGGTCGATTGTTGTCCAGGACGAGTACTCCACGAGTCCGACTAGTCCGCCGCACTGCAAAGTCCTCGCCTCACTGGAGGTCGCGACGCGCGCCAACATTGACGTGATGATATGCACTATTTTATGATTCTTTCCGTAACCGAAGTGGTTGTAGAGTGTGTTCGTCTGTGTGTAGCGGAGTGGGAAAAATAATGCGGTCGTGCCGAGCGGAGGTTTGCATTTCTGAGGTGGAAGAGCTCACACTCACACACGCACACGATTCGCACGCGAGTGTGTGTGTGTGAGTTTGCCCGCTCGAGCGGCGACACTGTAGCAGTGCTGCGTAATTGAAACATTGACACGCCATGCTGACATGCTGACCCCCAGCGCCCCAGCGCCAGCCGGCCCGCTTCCGTTGATGGATGCACTCGGTGCACCGCGCCGCTGTGGCTGTCCGACCGTGCGGCGATTTGGCGCGGCACAACATGAAGTGGGCGTGGCCCCGCCGGCCCCCCGCGCCGTGCCACCATCCGACCGTCATCGGCTTCTCACGAGGAAGACTCGGTTTGGTCAGCAGTGCGCGTTATTCGACCGTCCGCCCGTCCACGTGGGTCCGCGGCGGCCGGCCGCTCTGTCTCTCTCGCACTCGTGGGGTGCCCCGCAGGGGAGCGAGAGAGACAGGAGCGACGCGAACGCTGTTCGGACTACGGCCGGCTAGCCTCAGACAGCCTTCGCCTTGAGGTGGCTAATGACAAAATAAAAATTGGCAACGGAATTGGATGGCAATTAGAGGCGGTAAGGCGGCAACGAGCGAATGTCGCTGGGCGTACGACGAGTACCACGAGTGCGGCAGAGGATGGAGGCGGATGGACGGAGCTAGACCTGTGGAGCCCAAGCCGAAATCGTTTGTTGATGAAACGCAGACGACGCCGACGGACCGCGCCACCGCGCGCCGCGGTCGGGGGAAGCGGAGCCGGGGGGACTTCCCTCTCCCACACTGCAAGAAACAACCGGCCACGAGAAGCCGTCCTCACGTGGACGGGGCACCCGGGTTCGACTCCCGGCTCGGCTGTCCATTTTAATTTCTTTTCGGCTGCTGGTCCACGACCCCAAATTGGAATTCGACCAGATTCTCCTGTGCGTTCCTGGCCCGTTCATGTGCCACTGCGAACGCGGCCGATTTCGTCTTTTGTCGCTCCGTCTCTCTCGCGCCCCTGCGGGATTCACCAAGAGTGCGAGAGAGACAGGGCGACGCGGCCGCGTGCCGCTGCGTGACTCAAGGATGCGCCGCACGCGCGTGCGAGTGAGACAGACAGCCGCCGCGTACGCCGCGTCCTCCGGCCGGCTGCTGCTGCCGCTGGCATTCCCTCGCTTGCCCTCGCTTTTCTTAGATTCCAATGGCTATGAATATCGCGACAATTGGTGCATCCATGATGCGCCCTTCGTCTTCGCGTTCGTGTTGGTCCGCCAGCGCGGTAGCGCGGTCGCCGCACTATCAGTGCTGCCACCTACTGCCCAGTGTGCTCTACACTCGTCCTCGTCTGCGCCACTGCGACTGCTGCGCTTTGCTGCGACTGCTTTAACTGCGGCTAGTCGAGGGCAGTTCTAGGGTCTAAAACATCCGATCCTCAATAATTGAAAAAAGAAAACACAGAGTTCCATAAAACCATTTATTTTTTATTTTTATGGCTTCTACAACATGTCATAGAATTTTACAAGTATAACTAAGTATCAAAATCTTAATTACAACAATATCCAGAGCACAACAAGATACAATGACTAAGTTTCATGAAAGTTTACAGAAACATGTGCTTATCCCAAACAACATATAGGGGTATTACATATGACTTTACTTCATGATCAGTACAGATACAATAATAATAAATTGGACCATTTAGACTTTACAGTATTTACAAAAAGAGTTACGATTTTACATATTATCTTACATTGGCGGTAAAAGATGCCATAATTATGAAAGACTAGAGCATACTGCATCAGCTTGAAATTATCTAAAAAATGGGAATGCATGTTCAATTTCTAGATTAAAGTAATAATCAAGCAAAATAGAAGAAAAAACCAAAATCCTATTTAAGTTTTCACAATAACCGGCACACTTAACAGTCATCTACGATCTGAGAACTGTTGCTGATCATTATGAGGAAGTGGTCTCACTCCAGAAGAACTAGGACCTGGCAATGACATGGGTAAGCTGGGTTGCGACACACCCGACACTCCCGGGACGATGGTCGGAGCCAGGACTGTTACCGGGGCCTCTGCAGGAACCAGGCCGGCACCGGGTGTGTAGCGAGACGGTTTCTTGGTTTGGAACTTTTGTTTCTTGAGCGGCGAATTCACGTCGACCGCGCTCCCCTCCCGAACTGGAGCCCACCAAGATGGGCGGGATGGATCCCGCTTTAAATCTGAGGGAGCTGTGAATGACAAAACAAAACATGAACACCAGTGCACAGCCGACACACCACATGCAGCAAACTAGTCAGTCAAAAGAATCACACAGACCTCCATGCATCAGGGGGGGAGCTGGCGGTACTCAGAAAACTCGATCTTGGTAGCCAGAATCCAAGTGAGAGGGCTTCTGCATTGCAGTCTGATGTTGGTGGTGAGCACGCATGTGGCCTGCTCGGCGAGGAGGGGCAGTGTATTCAAACATGCTCTGGGTGTGTTGCGCAAGCATTTTGGACAAATCCCCAGGCATTGGGTCAGTCCAGAAGAAGTCGTGGTTCAATGCAGAATCAGAATCTATTCTCTTGCTGGGATCCAAAATAAGAAGCTTGTCCAACAAGTCACAAGCATATGCATCTTTTACGTAGGGCTTTAGACGCTCCCGAACCTGAAATAAAATTTCCAAGAGGGTTAACTTACAACTGAAAAACTCAAATTTGGAGTAGAAACAAAATGAAACACAAAGTCACCTTTCTCTTTTGGTTGCGGGGAAGTTCCATTTTGGAAAATAGGTCAAGATTATCTACTTTCGGCCACACTTCAGTGGTGATTGAGCCGCAGAGTTGACTAATGAGAGTGAGCTGTTGCTGCTCAGTGTTTCCCTGCATTATGGGGCTGCGGGTCCACATCTCAGCCATGATGCAGCCTGCTCCCCACAGGTCCACTGGTGGACCATAATTGCGATCTCCTAGAAGTAGTTCCGGCGGTCTGTACCACAGTGTCACCACTCGATTTGTGTACCTGGACACGTACAGTTTAAAATGAGAGCGAGGATGCGCACTTCAACAACTGTAATCAGTGCTGGCAAATGAACCCCTCACCTATTTTGTTCACCTGCCTTTGGGATACTAATTGCTCTTGCCAAACCAAAATCAGCTAGTTTCAGTACTCCATTTTTTGTGATGAGGACATTAGCAGCCTTCATATCCCTGTGTAAAATCTGCAAGACAAAACAAGAGCAAAAAGTTAAGCAAAATTCAAACTACCTCTTAATACTTCAAACAACTATGTCATTGTTACTTACTTTATTGCTATGTATATAATATAATCCATTCAATAGTTGTTGCATTACTTTCTTTATTTCTCCTAGGTTGAACTTAACATTTACATTTGACAACAGACCAGCTAAATCATGCTCACAGAAGTCAAAAACTAGGTAAAATGTTGACCTAAATTTGTTGGAGGCATTTGCTGAAACAGAAAAATGGAACACATTATCAGTTGTGCCCTCCTTACACAGGCTGATGGCAATGATCTTATCTAGGCCCAAGCAATAAAACAGAACACGAAGTTTGACATTCACTGCAAATGTGCCAGTTTTTTACTAGGATGTAATAAAATCTAGCAGGAAGACACCATTAAAAAAAGCAATGAGAGATATGACAGACAGCACTAAAGGTTCAGGTGTCACTACACAGAGGAACCAGGTGTATAAAAGAGGTTGTAGGGAATCCTCCAACAACAGAACAACGCCGTCTGTTTTGCAAAGCTTGAAGATGGCAGGAGAGATTTTGGTAAGTGTTTAAGTTTCCTTCAAGGCGGTGTGCAAATATTACATCACCTCTTTTAGGGCTCTTTTTGACCCCCTCCCCGTCCATCATCGGTTTATCCTAACCTTCCCATGTATTTAAGATAGGACCGTCATCAGAGACCGAACCCCCTCTCCCCCAAAAGAGATGACGTAATATTTGCATGCCGCCCAAGCAGAATGTTGACTGGAAATTTTTGTCTATTGATAGAGTTTTTCAAAATCCTTTGCAGGGTGGTATGATTGTTGTGGCAGGCATTGTGCTCAATGTTTGCATCTGGACAAGTCATGGTCAAGTTTCAGCTCCTCCTCCATGTAATGTGAATGGAAGAATACCCCCTGTGACAGGAAACTGCTCAAACCAGTACTACTTATGTTACAATCCCAACCTGAATGGCAATGGTAATTTCTCTCAGTGGCTTTACACTTGTCCTGGCACCTCCGTTTTCAACGAAGTAACGCAAAGATGCAGTACTGCGTGTGCAGTAACTACAACTACCTCCACAGCAGCTCCTGCCGGTGGTGGATAGTGCCAATGAAAAGCATTTGAAATGTTTCGACTTTTGTGTTAGACTATACTCCTTCTAGATACACGGTATACTTTGTATTGGCAGAAAAAATAAAAATAAAAAGAAGAAGTTTTTGTAGAAGTACTTCTTAGTAAATAACTTACCTTTTGTCCTGCAAATTTCTATGAGATTAACCACATTATCATGCTTCAACAGTTGAAGAATGCGGATTTCCCGAAGAGCAGTGATGGGAAACTAGAAAAGAAAGGAATGTTAAACATGACCCTGACAATGATGCAATGTGGCAAATATAATACGTAACAGTTGAAGTTGTCACTTACACCTTCTTTCTCATTGTCCATAAGAACCTTCTTCATAGCAACAAATTTTCTAGGGTTTTTCCTTTCCTTGGCTTTGAACACCTCCCTGCAAATAAGGCACGAGGTTTGAATAAATTAACACACAGAAACGAACAGAAAAAGTAATGAGTAACAGAGAAAACACATAAATATGCATTCATTATGGTTCAAGTTCAGGCCACAGATGTAATTACAAGATCATGAGACTATTCAAATAGGTGAAAGGTACGAAAATACGAGGGAAAACATAGACAAACACAAATTACTAGAAAAATAGAACAGAAAATAGCATTGCTGTGAGGTTAAGTGTCAAACAACACACCTCAGACACATTCAAAGAAGAACACAGGGTGTAAGGTGATAAAAGTAATAAAAACTTAAAGGTAAACTCACCCGAAGGTTCCTTGCCCAATTTTTGCAACTTTTTCGTACTTGGTCGCATCGTCACAGTGTGGAAAATCATAATCCTCGATGTACTTTTCTCGTTCCTTGATATTCATTTTAAATTACTAAGCACGAAAAGGTCCAAACCAATCAGTGCGATTTATCACAAGAAATGCATTGTCTTCGTCTTCTATGAATGAACCTCTGCCACTAACTTTCACAACACAACACAAAACAAGTCAAAACTTGTTTGTTCTTCACTGTTGTTTTTGTTTTTGCTGTTGTTGTTGAACTAGAGGTACTGCCACCCCTACAGCTACCACGCACTTTTGCAGAGTGTTCATTTAATGTAAAATAGGAAATTGTAGTCATGAATCAAACCAAAATTTAAATATTTTTCACCAGCAAATTTTTTAAGAGTTGGTGAGATGCATTTAAGCGGGCTTGGTGTGAGGACGCGGCTACTGTCATGTTGTTCAACTGAGATCGAGATTTGCGATCCGATCCGATTCCGATTGTTTTCTCCTCCGTTTGGGCTGTAGGTGTTCGGGTTCTCAAGTGATCAACAGAGGTAATGTTAATTCGGAAAATCTTACACGATTTAAATTGGTCTCGTGTCACTAACTTTTAAAGGATTCCCATTATTATAGAATGCTGTCACTCCTGCCCTGGAATCCTTCATGCAACCTTTCGCAATGAAACTTCAGATTAACCTTATTGTGTCGTGAAATTTGACGTGAGGAATGCAGCCAATTTTGGGGGTTGCCGACGTTCAAATTAGAGGATGATTGCAGCCTTATTTGGTACAACTTACGCTCCGCCAACGCATGCGCGCTTTTTTGCTTAGTTCAGTATCGTACATTGGTTCCAAAATCGGTATTTTTGTCGGTGCAAGGTATGCTTGGCGTTGATTTTAGGCTGCTGGTATATTCCCTCGATTATCTGTACTCGCTCCATTGTGACATAGCTTCCCCGTCTAGTAGACCATAGCTACCATCTCTAAGTTCATTCGACACGATTGTTAGTCGGGCAGGATCCAGGCGGCCCGAATGCTAAAGTTAGTGTGCTAGGTTATGGTTTAGGACTCGGCTTCCAGTTCCGACGAGACGACATTTTGCATGCGTTCATTTCGGCGACTCAGAGCAATGGTTGTAATAGCAACGGGGATTTTTTTTTCATTTTTTGGCCTTCTTGATTTTTAAGATTTTATCTAATATTGGTGATTTTGGCTCATGGATACTCAGTTTAGATCAATTTTGATAAGTGTTGTGTATATTTGACAACCTGCCTTGTAGTGTTTAAATGACCTTGTAAATTGTAGACAAAGCTATAATCACCTTTCTGGCCAATTTTCTTTTTCAATCTTATTTTTCAATGAAGGGCATCTGTATTTGAAGCCAATGGAAACAGATACACTACAATCCCCCCTCCTTCCTCTTGCCTTTGGACAACTGTATTGTCCTGGAAAAGTTGTAGATTTGCGTCAATAGTTGTCAATGCAACACTTTTGTTAATTGGAATGATAACAGTGTTCTCAATATTCAGTTAATAATCTAGTGTGTTCATTATCTTAGATCCTTTATTGTAGCACTTTCTCACTAGTTTAAACAACACATGCATTAGTTTGACTAGAGCAGTGCTTGTTGTGGCACCTGTAGGTTTAGTTAAGGTAGCTGCTGATGACCACTGTTGACTTGACTTTTCACTTCTCCTGTTTAGTCATGACTGCTGCATCACATAAAATTCTGAAATTTTTCAAATTTGGATTGATTAGGTCTTAATTTTTATAAAATATGTCATCTGTGCTCGCTGCACCAGATATGCACACAAGCCTAATTTTGTCATTAATATTGGTTTTATTGTGGTTTATTTCTCCTGTAGAGAAGCTGATTTCTTTTTAGAAGCACTTTTCCTTCTAAATTATTTTGTCATTTTGCTCTGATTGAGTGTCTATGATTAGTAGTGTATTTGCCTGTAAGAAACCTGTCATAATGGTCTTCCCTATTAAAACTTATGTTTTTATGTTTTCAGTTATTCGTCATATCTACTGCATTATTGAAGCCATGGTATGTCCTCTCACAATTTCCTGTCTTTGAACTTGAACCCAACATGTTTTGGAGGTTGTACTATCTCTGTCCTGTTTTATTATTCCTCAGACGGATACCTCCTGTTCTGACTCGGATGTTTCCAAGAATGGAAAAGATGGCCTTGCTGCTGGGTCCAGAGCCTTCCTCAACAATTCACCTTCTGAGGCTGTGGAAAATTTTAAAGCTGTCCTGGAAAAGACAAGCTGCAAATCCAATCAGGTTTGTCTTCGACTACAAATTCTAAAAACAAACCCATGCTGTAGAAGCTGAATAAATTTTAAACCGATTGCATTTTTTCTCTTACAGAAAATTCCTGTTTCTCAATTAGTTCTAAGATATGCATTGTGTCTTGCATTGATTAAGTGCAATGACTATAACCATATTGCTGAGGCGGTCACTATTTTGTTGGAGCTGATTGATTCTGGTTATGCCAATAAACTTCCATCACTCTATCTGGCTTTAGGGAAGGCTTACTTTGCTTTGAACAGGTTTGTGTTGCTTTCCTTCAAACTCTTCCCTGTCTGCTTACCCTGATTGTATTGTGTCGTGTAACACTTTTTGCTATGTTTTATTTACTCCAGGTTTAAGAGTGCTTTGGATTTTATTGATAAAGGTCTGAAAGCTATTCAAACAACTTCTAAAATTAAACAGCATATGTGGCCTGGGCTACAACAAACTATTGATGATACTATAAAGAGAATTTACACAAGGAATTGATTAAACTTCAGAAGGGTTGTAAACAGTCTCATATTCCAACAGCTCTATGCCATTTTGAAAAATGTATTGAGAATAGTGCCCATTTAATTCCAAGTCAAGAAATATACTTAACGTGAGTTGTATTCCGTCATTTTTAATTTGTGTGTTGCACTTAATCTTATCTTTATCTTTGTATCCAATTCAGAGACCCGGATTTTAAGCCATTTTTATACATACAATGTAATTCAAATTGTAAATATGCTTATCATGATTCATGCTGGAAACATCTAACGCGCATTGACCTTAATTTGGATGATCCCAAGGTACAATGACAGTTATAATACTGAAAATGCTAAATTTTAACAATGACTCTTGCAAAAACATGTTTCTCTTGTTAACTTTCCTACATCTACTTTCTTTCAGGATTTACTTGGAACATCATGTTCAGCATGCTCCTCTAAAATTAAGAACGACTCTGTTATTGTTGAAGTTAATTTAATTGGCTCAGAATTTGGATTTGATAAACCTTTATCAACATGGCTACTGGATGAAGATAAGTGTCCCAATATGAAATCGAGGTTGGTATTAATTTTGGTTTTATTTCTGACTATTGAACAAAACCACTCTTGTTCCCTTTAACAATTTTTTTCTACTATTTTACATTTAGAAATCAAGTCAAATCAAATACCTCCTCACCATTTAAAGGCAATAGCAAACCTGTTTCATCCAACGGATCTCTTACTAAGGTATAGTATTCAGAATATGTGTTAAAACACATAGGGCTGCTCGTTGGTTACAAACTTGTCAAGTCAGATTTGCTAAAACATTTCAGAGCCTTTCGTAATAGTCTATAGCCGTATATTTTCTGCTCCTACTCAAAGTTGGTCTAAATTTTAACACAGTGGGGAATGTTATTTTTGCAAATTCCTATGTTCCATTCCTTGTCGACAGTCTTGTGTGAGAAATACTGGACTCAGGACACCAGAAGCTCACAACATTTCAATGCCAAGAACAAATCCAGCACAACCTGTATATGTTTACCAGCCATTACCCCAACCAATGATTCGTCCTTTTCCATGTCCAATATACCAACCAGGATATAACTATGTGCAGGGTGTTGGGATTGTTGGGCCCAGACCAGTTTATTATATCCCACCCCCTCCTGCTCAGTGGTCCCAGTGGCCTCGAGCTGAAGCTCCCTATTTAACTGTGAATAACAATAGTTATCAGCAACCATCCTTGCAGCAACGCCCTCCAACTTGTGTGGAAGTTACCGTGTCTGATACACAGGTTCTCAGTAGTGGTACAACTTTGATTGTGCCTGTGACCCCTTCAGGGGGACCATGCAAAATTGTCAGGCCTCCTATGGTGGGAAGTCAGATCCAAACACCACACCCAAAATGCTTTTCAAATCAATGCAAGAAAACTCCTCTAAAATCAGTCACTTCTGAATTTAAGAGAGATGTTTGCCAGAAAGCTGAAGAAGAGGTTGCCTGCTGCTCTGATGGCTCAGTTAAATCAAAAGGAGAGCTGCCCAAGGAGTCACCAATTGCAGCAATTGGATCCGTTGTGGATGAATTTAAATCGGTGGTTTGGAAATTAGCTGGTAAAAGCCCTAGTACTCATGACACATCTCTCAATTCTGATGAAAGTTCTAATGCCAATATAAAATCTGTTGTGGAAGAATTCAAGAAACTGGTTCTTAGTTTGAGTGGAGAAGATAGCAGAAATGATATGAAGAAAGAAATGTCTAATTTTGTGACTAACTCACCCCAATCTCAGGACACACATCCTACATCCCAAGCATCTATGTCGGAACAGTTACTTATTAGTGAGGCGTCTACGTTGCAGGCAAAAGTTTCACCTACGGAGGATGAGAACTCATCTGAACACAGCTCAATACACTCCTCTCAAGATGATGTCAGATCTGAATTACAGGATAGGTGAGTTCCCATTGGACAAATCATTTTATTGGATTGAAATTTCATACAATTGGTTGGTTTTGTCCACTCATTGCATGTTATGTTCTGTGCTGTTTGCTGCAGCACGAAACTTGCTCATCTGCTCGATATACTTCACCAGTGTCGTAAATTAGATTTTGGATACCTGCCTTCTGAAAATGTGAGTTAAAATGAATTTCTTTATTTTTCTTAAATTTTGTGAATTCTTTTACATGCATTATGTCATCAATCGTTATTTATTTTCATATCTAGATGAATCCAGAATTACAGTGTTTTGGTCATCCCTACGTTGATTCTTCGAATTTTGTGGAACCTAATGAGATAGATGAATCGGATAAAGATCAAGCTGATTTTGTGTTTTCGTAAGTCAGAGTATTGTAGCTTAATGTTTTTAGCACAACTCAGTATCTTTTATCTGTAGCTGATTTTTGATGCTGTTCTGTTTCAGGTACTATTATTCTGTGTTTGAAAGAAATGGACTTCATAGGCTGGAGGACATTCAAGAAAAGTGGAGAACTACCATTACTGAAGACATAGGACTGCCGGAAAAGTTTACTAACAAGTATTCAAGTATGCATTTGTTTGATAAAAATTGGTGGACCTTAAATTTGATTCTTGGCTTATCTCACTTATGTATCTTGTTTTATATTGTCTTCTCCTCACAGGCGTTTCTGAATTTCTTCTGAAGTCTGAGAAATTTGCTGCCATAGATGAGTTCATTGGAACATCCGATCTGCTTCCTGATATGTTTTCAAAAGCTCAAGTTGAAATAGCGGAAAGTGTTTCTTTCCTATTGTTTTCTCAAGATTCAAATACAAATAATATAGACGAACTTAATAGTGCTGATACTTTTAATGACGCTTGGAAAATCAAAATGAATAATAATAATAATGCTCATACCCATCATAATCTTCAGTCATCAGCATCTGCAGATGATTCTGGTTCAGATCACTCTGATGATTGTGAGAGATCTGATCATGTAGCACTTAGTAATGATACCAATGATAATCCTATATGCACGAGCTCTGCAACTTTTAATTCTAACAAATCTATAGTAGCTCCAGAAGTCAATGGAATGCCTACATCTACTTCAGGCTGCAATGCCTCATCCATGGTATTTGTTTTTCCATTATTTTACTTTTCATGTTTTTAATTGTTACCTTAAAAAAAAAAAGATGGTTGTTAAATGTCGACCTTATTAAGTCTTGCCTTTAATTTTCAGGCTGATGTGTACATGAGTGATGAGGATGAGGAAATTGACTCCAGCCTTGTGATAGATGGTGTAGTAAAAGATGTGCCTCCTGAATGGAGTGGAGCCCAATCGAAACCAGTATGTATTGGTGAACATATTTTATTTTTATAAATGTCAACCTTCTGGACTTCTCTCTATTCTCACTGCGATAAATTTTTGTTACAATTTAGGATGTATTAGATAAGCAATCACAGACTGATCATATAGTAGATGTGGAGAAAGAAAATTTAGCAAAGTCAAAAGACTCACTTCTCAAAGAAGTTTCTGAGCTCAGATATGAGAAGGGGGAACTGCATCAAAGAATTGAGTCCCTTCAGTTTGTAAGTGAAATTCTTGATCTTTCAAAAACTTAAGTTAACTGTTAATTTTATAACTTGCATATTATTGAATTTTCTAGCAAATGGAAACTAATCGTGCTACCATGGAGTCACTTTATGAGTCAACTTTGAAGCAGACACAAGAGAAGCATGATGAGAAACTCCTTGAAAAGTCTTTAGAGCTGAAGGAGGTGAGATTGAAATTTGTTTTACTAACTTTCTTAACTAAAAATTAATCCTAAATCAAATTGGTTAATGTACTTGTTGCTTTTTTCTCTTGTAGATTCGAGACAAGCATTGTGCTCTGGAGCAGACTATTGTAGAACTTGAGCGTAAAAATGAGGCAAAGGAGAATGAGGTTGCCAAATTAACCTTATCCCTGCAGAAGATTCAAAGAAACCATGCGAAAGAAATGAACAATTTTGAGCAGAGGTTGCAGTGAGTGTCCACATAGAATATAATAATTATTGTATTTGAACTACTACACCTTGATCTTATTTCTCATTTTTTCTTATCTTGTTTTTAGGGAGGGCATGAAACACAAACTTGCTGAATCCATCAAACAATCTAAGCATTACATCCAGTTATGGAAAGATTTCTGCGATTTCAAAATTAACAAGTAAGAACAATTTCGTTCAAAGCAAGTAAAAATGAATGAATAGTCAATTTAACTGTGATCTTTTCTAATTTACAGATATAATCAAACCTGTAATGACAGGATAAATGTACTCTCACAGCTGAGAGATATGGTATCTGACTCAGTACACCCAACCAAATCTGATTTAAGTACAATGATTGAAAAGTATGAAGACAGCATGATTGCTGTGACTCAAAAAAACGCTGAAGTCAATGTATGTGTTCTTTACTATAAAAATGAATATTTCTAGATTGTGTGTTTGGCTAATTTTTTTTTTTTTTTTTTTTTTTGTTAATTTGCGTTTTTTAGGACATTTTTAACAAACAGATGGATAGGATGAAAAGTGGTTTGGAGGTCCAGTTACCTGCAGTTGTAGATGTCCCCGATTTGATGAACATGCCCTACCCTCCTGAAGGAGTGTTTGATCAATTACGTACTGTTATTAAGCCAAAGCAAGAAGATTTCTCTGTTCCTCAGAACCATTTCCTGGGTGGTTCACGATTTTTTCCTCCTCGTACTTTTAATGGTCTGCAGTCTAGAGAAAATGAGGTATGAATATTTTGTGTACATTAAAAACTAAATTAAAATGGTATGCATGTTTATTTGTTTTGTTTTTGTTTTAAACATCAATGCCATGTTTTCAGGGATTTGGATCAGGTTCTAGTTCTTCTCTATTTGGCCAGGGTCATAATGAAACACACCATCTATGGAATACTCCCTCTATCTCTTTTGATGTTAACAACACAGGAAACTCACAATACCATCAGGTATGCAAATCCAACTGTTGCAAGATGAGACAATCTTTGTCCAGACAAAATTTTACTAAATTTTGGTTTGTTTCAGGGATTTGGATCTTCCAATCCAATTATGCAGCAACCTTCTTTGAATTTAATGCCTAACCTGATGTATCAGTCTTCCACACAAAATCCGATGCTTGCCCAGCGCACTACTCCTAGTCCTTCCCTTTCCCTCTCTTCTGTGAATGGATCGGCTTTCACCTCGAATGCTTCCACTCCCGGTTTGTCCACTCCACTTGGTTCTCTTGCTGCTCCTGGTTCTAAAATTCCACCTTTGGGACCCCCCAGTCAGAAGCATCTTGGAAACCCAACACCAGTGATCAGCCAGGTGTGTTGTGTGGTCTTACATTCTCCATAATTATTGAATTGTGTATTTTGGTTTTCTGAGATTTTGTATGATGTTAAATTTTAGCCTGTGAAGACAACAGCAAGTCCAGTGCCTTCCAGTGCACCTGCTCCTGTTTCTCCCCCTCAAGGAGCTATTCCAAAACCTCGAGTTCAGACTGCAACTGCATCCATGACGCCCATCGTTCCCTCCAAACCTAAACCCGTTCTGAAGGGAGTCAGGGGACATGAGTCAAATTATGAAAAATTAATGAGAAATTTACAAAAAATGTTCCCTACTAGAACCGAGTAAGTGCATTTCTTAGTTTCTATAATACAGAGATCCAGAAAGACTTGACTTCTGATTCCTGAAAACTTTAATTTGCAGCATGGAGCTCACTCAAGCCTTAAAACTTGCCCGAGAGCGTAACAATAACAGCTTGTCGTCTCTTTCTCATTCTGAGATTGTGTCCAGAGTTGAAGAAATTCTCAACACATTCCGAAAGCAGAGTAAGTTGAATTGTCAAAACTAGTTACAATAAGAATTTTATTGCTATTTAGTAGAAGGAGTGGAAGATTAGTAAACCCTGCTGGATCATGCCGCATCATAAGCCCTCCTTCCCCACAACCCGTTCTTAATCCCCTACCAAACTCCCCCTGGCATCTGCTATGCCCTTTGTAAGTCCAATTTGGAAGCGGTTGAAATCAGTCCGTTTATTTGGCTCAATGCCTCCTTGGACAACTCCCACCTTCCATAAGCCTGATGCCAGCCAGCTCACACTAGCTAGAGTCCTGGATTTAGGAACCAATCCAGACTGCATATTTGGTTAAATTGTACCTTACCTGTTCCTTGTCACATTTTTAAAAAATTACTCTTTGCAGCATCAATGAGCTGGGAGAAATTTGGACAAGCAGCATGGGGTACAGCCAAAACGCCTGTTATTGAGTGGGAAGGACAGGAACAAGATGAGTGTTGTATTTGCATGGCTCCAATGCAGGCAAGGGAAGTTTATACTTTGGAATGCAAGCATGCATTTCATAAAGACGTGAGTTTCTTTTTCTGTATGATAGTCCTGTTTGAGTTGAATGAATTTTTTGTTATTGTGTTTTAACTGTTTACCCTTGCTTTCAGTGCATCAAGAAATGGCTTGAGCAGGAAAGTGTGTGTCCAAATTGCAGAACACATTCAACTATGGTTGATGAGTTCCCCCCATTGGGTTGATTTGTTTCCCTCTTAAGGTATAGATTTTTGTTCTTTCTTTTTTAAAAATTACATTTTTTTTGTTTTGCCTCCCCAACCAATGTGAACTTTTTTACTAAGTGTCTCCATACCAGAACCATATTATTGTTTATTTTCTGTGACATGGTATGGATGTTATCCATGCAGTTTTATCTTGTGACTGCATTTTTTAAAAAAAGTAGCTTGATTTTCTCTTTAATGGTAAATAAATCATTGCCAGTTCATGATTTTATTTTTTGCTCTCTTCCTGCACTTAATCCATTGCAACTTGCCTTGAGTATTCCATATAGTATGACACTTCAGAGAATTTTCTATGCTGGTCCCTGATTGAAGGGAACCTCTCATTTTCAAATATTTTGTCTTGTCATAACAGGATTTTTATTTTGCTGTCAAACTTCTTGACTTTTTGTCACAGCCTCTCAGTATTGATACATTTCATCAGTTCTCACTTGTATCTTGTTGGTGCTGACATTGAGTAAATAACAATTCTAAGTTCACACTGATTTGTGTGCCTTTCCTTTTTCAATTTAACACAAATCATAGTTAAAATAATTCATGCTGTACATTCCCACCTTGAATAAAACTACAAAATTATAAAATGTAGCTGATTGGCATCTTGTTAGCCAAGCTTACAGTTTCCTTCTGTTATGGGTTGGTTGTTGCATAGAGTATCTAAGTTTCGTGATGTGCAGAATTATGTATGGCTTAATGTTGACAATGGTGTTGTTGAAAGTTTGTCACCCAATAATGTTCTAGATGACAGTGATGCAATGTAGGCTGGTATCACTCAATAAAGTGATTATTGGATGCTCAAACTTTCTTAATTGTTTAAAAGACTGAAGCTGATTGAATATGCATGTTTGTTTGTTTGTTGAAGAATAGGTATTACATCGTGGCCTTTTCTTTGTTTGTCTATTATTGCCCCAGCCATTAATTTTTTTATTGTTTATTATGAAAATCAGTGTAATGCTTTAATTGGAGGGACTGTGACTTGAATTTGAATAGCTGTAGCATATTCTGTAGATGTTAGATTTTAACATGAATTAATTTATGTTTCCACTTAAACTATGCACAGAGATTGCATAAGCCTACCTAAGCCACATTCATTATTAGCTGTAATGTGATGACTTATAGATCATACACTTTGCTTCTCTGTGTTATTGCTTAGTTCAGTGTTGATGAGTTGGATAATATGTTAAAGATTTCATATCATTCTCTCCTAATTGTCTTCTCCACATTTACCTTCCATTTTAGAACAAATGTCAATCATACTCCTTATTTCTGAATAACATTCAAATTACGTATTGCTACTCTATATTGGCTTTCATATAATATGACTCTACTGATGTGCCTTAGTAGAGCCACTTGTGCCTTACTGTAACATGATTGCTCATATAATTACTGCTTTATTATATCCTTTATATTTCATGATAAATACCTTCTTATTTTATCATATTTATTCTTTAATGAAAAATATATTTCCTAATGAAAAAGCTTTGGTTTTTTAGTATCTTCCCATAAACATTCCCCTAATCTCGCTGTTCCTGCAGGAGAAAACATTGCATGAAAGAAGTTTTCCACAAGAAGTAAACAAAAACAATTACTTTACTGATTCAAAGGACCAAACATAACATGAACACAGCTTAACAAATGCAGGAGCGCAACATTTTCGTCGACACTCTTTATCACATCTTAGACACCCCCTGCCTAAGCGCTCATGAACACAATTGAGGTAACAGGCCCTCTCAGTCGGGATGGCGGGACGCACAGTGGACCCGCGCGGCTCTAGTTGAGGTTGTTGGTGCAGGGCTGCTGCACGTAGTTGAGGCAAAAGCCCCGGTTGCCCGCGTCGTTGGGCGCCTCCACGTTGTTGGTGTGGTAGGCCAGCCGGAAGGGCTTGACCGTGCCTGCAACGGAACGGAAACGGAAGGGGGCGTTTCAATCAACAAAACAAGACACACACTGTAAAATGTGAAAGGGAAGGCGGTGGACTGACTGAAGACGGTGGACGGCGTGGTGCCGATCTCGGCGCTGAGCGTGCCGCCGCAGAGGCGGTCCACGCAGGTGGAGGTGGCCGGCCCCATGGACACGCGGCCCACGTTGTTGACGCAGGGAATGACCAGCCAGTCCGCGTTGCACTGCGCGCTGCCCGTCATGGAGCTCAGCGGCGTCTGGCCCTGCGTGTTGCCCGACAGGGTGAAGGAGTGCGTCCGGTTGTTGACTGCAGAGAGACAGAGCATCGCGTCACACACCAAAAGCACTTTGTCGTGCCTTTTTCAAAAATAAAATGAGAAAAATGTTGTTTTACTTGTGTCGGTGCACTGGGTGTACTGGATCCCGCAGAAGTTCCTCTCCATCCGGACGCAGATGGAGTAGTCCTGGTTGGAGAGCTGCAGGCCGGCGTTGGGGTCGTAGTTGAAGGACTTGATGGTGCCGGACACCCCCGTGAAGTACTGCAGGCAGCCCTCCTCGGCTGCAGCAGCAACAACAACAGCATGGTCAAGAGCACGGTTCACAGTCGCGCCGGGGCCGGACGGGGCGGCCGTCAGAGAGGAACAGGGACAAGTTGGCGTGGACCGGCCCTGCCGCCGCGCCGCCGCTCCTGTTGGATGGGGCCAACACTTCATACGTGAGGCGCGATTTGTAGCAGCACGCAGCTCCCGACAGCCGGCAGCCCTGCGGCGGCCCTTCCCCTCCCCGGCGACGACGGCGCCATTAATTCCCTCCGATTACGCGAGTCGTCGCGGCCGAGGCAAGGAGGCGGCCCGACAGCGAAACAGGAGCTAATCATAAAAAGTCGAGCCGAAAACTGGAACCGCTGTCCACTGTCCGTCCGGCCGGCCGCGGACTGGACCTGCGGCGGCGGCGAGTCGGCAGAAGCGAGTCGGCACTCGCTGGATTCGTAAATGGCGGTTCTGGTTCGCGAAACGGCGGAAGGCCGAAGGAAGGCAGCCGAAGGCGGAGGGAGGCGCGAAAGTGCCGGAGCGGCAAGCGGCGGCGGCACACGTCTCGGACACAAGGAGTCGCACGGCAAGAGGGCGGAAATTAAACTCCGAACATAAACGCGACGCTCGTAACCCTTTCGGCCTTTCGGGACGCAGTCCGGTCCCTCGCGGTCCTCGCGGCGCGTCAAGAGTCTGCCTCTCTCGCACCGATCCGCGACGCGCGGAGGAGAGCGAGAGGGACAGAGAGGGACTGCTCGGAAGCAGCCAGCTGGCGGACCTGGCGGATGAATGACCACGGAGCCCCAGCGGACTGATTCCGAGAGTCGTTTTCGTCGCTCTGTCTCTCTCGCACCTTGCACGGGACGCCGCATGAGTGCGAGAGAGACAGGCCAACGAAAAGGCAAGGACACTCGGAATCAGTCGGCGAATGAATGGCGAGGCGGGGAGCGGCTCGGACTTCCCTTCCCCGTTCCCCGGCAGACCGGCAGGCCGGCAGGTGGCGCTGGCGGCAGGCGGCGGTAGCGGCGGCTCCCGAAGCGAGATAGTGCGCCACATACAAATCGCCGCACTCGCCGCCTCGCCTCGCCTCGCCTCTCTCGCCCGGCAGTCGGTGGCGAGCAAACAGCAGTCGGCTCACTCACTCACACACGCTTATCGCTGGCCGCACTTTGCCGCAATTTGAGGCCATTTTCCGACCGCGTCGGACCGCGCCGATTTCTCATCATCTTCCCGCGGATACATCGATACCACGTGGCCGGGGGCTCCAGGAGGCTGGTCCCGAACTGAGCTCCGTCTCTCTCGCGCTCAAGGGGCGTCGCGCGGGGGTGCGAGCGAGAGACGGCGAAGAAAGCACTGTTCGGAGTCAGACTGGGTGCCGGGCAGTGCCGGGCAGTGCTGGGGAGGACGAGGCCTTAGGACGGGGTGCTCGGAGGCGTCGGGAGTCGGGAATCCGCCGCTGGATAAGGAGTATAAGGAGGGCATTAAGCAGGAGGAGTCTGGAGAGTCCTGGAGAGCCACGCGATAAAAATCGAGGCAGATGCCGGGGGAATATTTGTTCGGCCGATGAATTCGGGGCGGGGCGGGGCGGGGCGGGGCGTAGTGAAGTACGCCGGCCTATTTGGACCGGCGTGGCGCCCTCCAGCCAGTGTCACCTGTCGGATGCTACCGGGCGGGGCGGGGCGCTAGGCCGTGTTCCTTCCTACGCGGTGTTTGACTACGAGATCGGAGATTTGGTCGTGGCGCTGCCGCGCTGCCGCTCCACGCCGGCCACGCCTTGACTCTAAATCTCCCAAAGAGATAAATGGGTCCGAAAACGCGCTGGCCTCCTCCCTTCACCCTTCGACGGAAATGCCGGAATTTTGATAGGCGGGTCCCAATTAAGGGTCCATACCTTCCGAAAGGGTTGCTCTTCCCTGCCCTCGCGCGCACAGCCGCGTGGCCGCGTGGCCCTTTCGCGGTTTGAAATATTGTCCAGCAATGCGAGGTATCCAATTAAGAGGGCTAACTAGATCACGTTTCTCGTCCGCTGGCCACGTCGCCGCCGGCGCGGCCTGCACGGCCTGCTGCATGGCCTCCATGGCCTGCATGGTTCATACGGCATTCCGCTCGGGATGCACGGCCAGATTGTCACGCGGCACTGAAACGCGACCCGCGTCGACGCGGTGCTCGCTGCCCGCTCGCGGCTTCGACCGCCACGGCCCGCCGTTCGGGCCCTGGGGCTCCACGTCGTCGAGGAGGACAAGGACGCCGGCCGACTCTTGTCTTTGTCTTTGTCCTTTTCGAGTGCATTACCGCCCCGCGCGTCGTATCGCGCTGTCCCGTTCTGTTCCGACACGGCGCCCGTCGTGCCCCTCGTTTACCGGTTGACGGCCACGTGCTCCCCGCGGCCACGCGCGTGCGCTACAGGTGCAGGGAAAGTAGGATGGCCCGGCCATCCCGGCGACAAGCCGACAAGCCGACAAGCCGGCCTCGGCACTCTGCACTCACCGCGGTACGTCGAGCTGCAGGGGATCTGGCAGATCTTCACTTTCCAGTTCCTGGCGAACGAAGGGCCGCTGGTGACGAACGTCAGAGTGACGGGGTTCGTCACGCCCATGCCGGCGTCCACGTACACTGTAAGCAGGAAGCCAGGAAGAAGGTGAGGTGGAGCAAGCGGGGCAAGCCTCGCGTGAGGCCCCCACGCGGCACCGCCACTCGGAGGCGCCGCGGCACGGAGCCCTTTTCCAGGGAAGCAGTTCGACTCCCGTCGGCCGCCCGTTCCTCGGACGGTGAGTCACAGGGCACAGGGCCGAAGGGCTTCCAGCGAGGGGAGCGTAGTGGCGTCCGAAACCTGGAGGGCAAGGACGTACTGTGGTTGCCGGTGTTGACGCCGCAGATGGCCGGCACGGGGCTGCCGCCCGACACGATGAACTGGTCGTTGCTGCACACGTGGTTCATCGGCTCCGGGCCCTGGATGTTGAACTGGTCAAAGTCCAGTCTGAAAACAACAAACAAAAACATCAGCAACACCTTTGATTAAACGCACGCGCTTTTTTTGCGCGCAGGAACAGAGGCGCCTGCCGCCGGGACAGGACCCTTTTCTTTTTCCTTTCGGGAGCAGGCTTCAGGCTTTCGTGGCCGCCGTGCCGCTACACTATCTCGACCAGATTCCGATTGCGGGCTGGCGGTGGCTCGCGGGGGCTCGCGGGCGGTGCATTAATTAGCAGTGTCGGCGCACCTGAACTGACAAATGTCGGGCCGGGCCTTGTGGATGGTGAGCTGGCAGGAGCCGGTGCCGTCCGAGGCGCTGGGGTAGCCCGCGTTCGTGAAGTACGTGCAGTTCTCCCTGGTGCTCTGGCCGCAGGTCGCCATGACTGCAACACAAAAGCCCTTTGAAAAACAACAAAAACAAAAAGGGATTTTCCACAAAAGAAAATTTAGGGCCTTTATCAAGAATTTTAGTTGGTGCAAACGGCGGGTTTGTTGGTTCCAGCATCGTCGCCGCCTGTCTTCAACTACATTCGGGCCTGCTTAGACGGCGGGTCCAGGATGGGCGCTTTGGCCGACTCGGCGAGCACAGTGTGCACTTTCCACCCACGGCCCACGCCCCCCTTACGCAACGCGACCAGAGGACGGACCGACAGCACGGCGTCGCGGCGTCGCGGCGCGGCCCGGGGCGTCGCATTGTAGTGCGTCACGGAGGGTGGACGGCGCCCTGGCGCGTGACGCGGGCCTTACGTCGGGGATGACGCCGCGCCGTCGCCACGTCGCTCTGTCTCTCTCGCACCCTAGCGGGCCTTGCGGGCCTTGCGGGGCGGCCCGTGAGTGCGAGAGAGACAGAGCGACTCTGCAGAGTGTCGCACTCGTCGCACTCACACACGCAGCAGACGCCGAAGCTGTTGGCGCACGGCCCGGACGGCATGCCGCCCCTGGCGCCGCACTCCGCCACTGCGAGGCAGGTGCCGTTGTCTCCGGACACGGCGGCGCAGGGCTGGTTGTCGAACTGCACCACGGTGAACAGGGACAGGACTGCGGACAGACAGACAAGCCATTTTGGAAAACGGCGTCAAGCCAACGCGTGACGCTGCTGGAGGCGTGCTGCTCGCTTACACCTGGCGTCCCTGTTGTTGGGCGTGGTCTCGTACGGCGGCTGCTGCAGCTGCTGCAGCTGCTGGGGGTTGACGGTGGCCGTCACGAAGCCGCCGTGGTGGTGGTAGCCGCCGGCCGCCGTCTTGGCCGTCTGCAACCGGGCAACCGTCTCACTTGCACACCCCTCCAGAGAGCTTCAATTCAATAAAAACGCGTCGCGACGCACACTGTAAACAAACCGCCGCGCGGGGAATCTCCGCGCGATTGCCGTTTGATGGACGGGACGGCGATCCGCGAGCGATTCGCGAGATTGGTCTGGAGGGGGGGGGGTCGCGTTCCTCAGGCGGTCGGCGAGTCTGTCTAGCTAGGCGAGCCTGGCGAGCCGACTGCTCCGGTTGTGGGCAAAATTAAAGCGGAATCCCTGAGTGCCTGAGTGCCAGTGTGCCAGTACGTCTCGCGAGTCGAGTCGTGCACAGTGCAGTTACCGGCTGGACGGACAAACTATAGGCTCTTTTTTTGTTTGCTTTTTTTGCGCGCGCGGCGTTCTATTTTTCTTTTTCTGGACTTTCCGCGTTGAAAACGCTCGCGGCCGTGGCCGCGCACAGTGTGGGTGCTGACCCACTAAAAGCAAAGTTGATAAACGGCAGGAAAAGGACGAAAAATTGGGGAGGTCGCGTGGACAGTGCGAATGAGCAAGCGACCTGTTCCCTTTGTTGTTACACTGGACAGGTGCGACAGAGAAAAGGGGGGGGGAGGGAATTCCGTGCCGCTGGCGCCGGGCGCCGGGCGGGATCCGCTGCTCTACTTTTGCTGCTGTCACCGCAGCATTAATCACAACGACAAAATCACGCGCGGAATTCCGCTGCCGGCTGGCTTGCTGATTATACAGGCTCTCGTCGCGCCGTCTCTCTCGCACTCGTGGGTCGTCCGCAGGGGTGCGAGAGAGAGAAAGAGTGTGGTGGTGGTTGGTGTGTAATCACGCCCGGTGCTTGCCTACCGGTTTCAGCCTGCGCCGCATGCCGTGCAGAGGCCGCCTCTGCCGGGCGCCCTGGCCGCCCTGGCCGCCCTGCCTGTCGTGATGGGGGTGGTGCGGCTGCGGCGTCTGCGGCGTCGTCGACTCCTCGGCGGCGGCGAAGGAGCTGAGCAGCGCCAGCAGCAGCGCGACGCCCAGGAAGGCCACGATCCTCGTCAGCGTCATGGTGCGGTCCTGGAAGCAGGAGGCTGATGACGAGGACCAACACAACACGCAGGGCCGCCCGGCCCGGCAGGGTCGGTGGGGCGGCGGCCTCCTCCAACACGCACGTCGCGGCCACGGCGGCCACGGCGGCCACTCCTCCCGGTGGGAACGGGACGGAACAGACACTAGTCGCAATTATTTCGAGAGACGATTTGATTTTCCGGGACGGGGCAAGGCCCTCGGACGAGTAGAAGAACTGAGAACGGACAAGCGCGGCGACGTTTCGGTTGTTAGCCTAGACGCCACTGCACGCTGCTTCCAAGCAGTGTCGTCGCTCTGTCTCCCTCGCACCCCGACGGCGCCGACGGCCCGCCCCGTGAGTGCGAGAGGGACAGAGCGACATGACGACGACGGCCTGCTGCTGGCTCGCTAAATCAACCGGGCGCCCCGCTGCTCCAACGCGCGCGAGCCGCGAAGTCTCATCACTGGACTCGTCCGGATTTTAAATCGGCCATCCGCCGACGCGTTCCTAATTACGCATAATGGCTCTGCGCGGTGGTCGGCGCGGTCCCCCACTGGGTTACTTATAAGCCGCAGCAAAACGATAAGCGAGCACGCCTTGGCGGGTCTTGGCGGCGGCGGGGCGCGAACCCGGGCCGGGGGGCACTGGTGGCGCGCTGGAGGCACCTGTGCTGACGGCGGCTGGTGCGGGTGCGGGTCCGGAGCGCGGGATGGGCGGGATGGTGACTGCGGGAGGCGACGCCCGCCCGGGGCCTTTTATCATTTCACAGCGCGGAGCAGCGCGGAGCAGCGCGGCCGTTGTCTGTCTCCGTCTCCCTCGCACTCACGGGGCGCCCCGTTCCGGTGCGAGAGAGAGGAGGCGGCGCCACCTGCCGTGACAAGCACGCGCACGGCTCGGTGTGTCACGGCGTGTCACGCGCGACGTAACGCTGCCGGCTCGTTCCGGACTTTCGTCGCCCTGTCTCTCTCGCACTCGCGGGCCGCCTCGTGTGGGTGCGAGAGAGGCAAGTGCTGTTCGGAGTCGGCGAGCCGCCCCGCTGGCACGCGCTTGGCCTTCCGTGACCTCACACCGCGGGCACCGCCAGCACAGCGCACTGCGCCGCACTGCGCGCCCAGGACGACAAGACGGACGTTGTTGTGTCGCCTTCCCGTTTTCGTTTTCGCTGTTCCATTCAGCCGTCGGCTCGTCGTCTCCGTCTACCGCTGGCTGCCGATAGTAGCCAGGCGCCCCTTTCCCCGAACTTACATGACGCGCAGGCCGGTCACCAACAGCGTCGCTCTGTCTCTCTCGCACTCGCGGGGCGCCCCGTTCGGCTGCGAGAGAGACAGAGGGCGGCCTGCAGCCGCGACACGAAAGCGCGCGCGCGCTGCCGCCGGCGGTACTCGAACCCGCGTCGCGTCCAGGCCGTGAGTACCCCTCTCCTCGCGCCGCTCGCGCCTGCCTTTCCCAACCTGCACACACTCCCTGCCTCCCTCCCGATAAGTTTACGAGTCCCCATTCAGGACCATCGGGGCAGCATCCTCAACAATCTGCCTCCAGATCTCTGCTTCACCTCGACGGGGACATGCATCGCGTCTCGTCCTCTCTGGTCTCTCGTCCGCCGCGCTGCCCAGGCGCTGCCCAGGCACTGCCGGCCGTCTGCCGTCTGCCGTCCCGGCTGGGCCGGCTGGCTGTGCCGTGTGCGGGTTGCCTGGCCGACGGTCCGGCGCGCCGCGTCCGTCTGTCTGTCCGCCTGTCCGTCCGTTCGCCCGTGGAGACGTGTCGGGTCCAGGGGCGGGCCCAGGCGGGTCGGCCAAAGGGGTGAAATACGCGTCACATTAATGGAGCCACTCGTCGGGGCACAGGCTGCGTCGCCACGCGGGCATCTCCCTCGCACCGCGGCAGCGGGACGCCCCGTGAGTGCGAGGGAGACGGCACACTGTTCGGAAGCAGACTCCGGGCAGGGCCCCCGTGGGGTTTGGGTGCTGATAGAGATAGCAGACTGGAAGAATGTGGCACGACGGTCCTAAAAGATGAACAGGAAGGGAGTTTTAGTGAATGGAGGCGTGTGACACCTTTATACACGTTACAGTTACACCCGTCGGCGGGGACGTCCATATTTCACGTGTGCCTCAGACAATGTTTTGCCCCCTGCCCTCTGACGGACACTCATGGGCAAATTCTACTGTGTGGGGGCCCCCACCGGCCCCCACAACTTCAAAAAAATAAATATAGAAATCAATTGACTGTTGCAACCATTGTTTCTTAAGAAACAAGGTATTTGTTTCTCAAGCTTGAACGCGCAAAAAAAAACCTGCAACCTGCAACATTGGTGGTATGCGTACGCCACCGGATCGACTGGAGATTAACTTGTCCTCTCGGCTTTACAGCTCGAATGTATCTGAGGCTCAAAATAAAAGAGCGACAAAATAAAAGTGTCGGAGTGGAGTCTGTGTGTGTGAGAGAGAGGAGTGTGTGTGTGTGCGCGCATAGCCCTGGCTCCGGCGGTGTCCGTGCTGCTGCCCCTTTGGCAAAGTCTGTCGGGCCTGCACTGCACTGCGGACTTCTCACGTTGCGTTTGCATCGAAATCATGCAAAAATGGGCGCTGGCCGCGGCCGGCCGGGGCTTGCCGGCGAGTAGGAATTGCAACATTTTGTTCCCCGCCGGGGAAAAGTTTCCGGTACATGGCTCGACTCGACGTGGCCGGTAGGCCTTTCAAACAGCTTTGTTTACAACGCGCGGCCGAGCCTTGATGTCTGATGCCCCGCGCGTTTTGCGTATCGCCGTCAAGTCCGGGTTAGACTCTGGGCCGCACTCGACCGGCAAGTCTGCCAATGGCGGGAAAGGTTAGGTTAGGCTGAGTCCAGGTTAAAGCACAAAAATGCCGAAACTGAGAACCGCGAAGAAAGATGTCGATCCGCGTGGCTTTTGCATCAAAGTCGACCCCATTTGACGCAAGCAGATGCCAACAGTGTAGCAGTGCCTGCCAGTGTGTGTGTGTGTGCGCGCGCGCGAAGTAAAGCGTGAAACCTCGATTATGCCCCTCTATCTCACGTCACATCTGAATCTGTGCGCCTCACCGCCACTCTTCTCGGTGCCATTCATAAATGAAAAATACTACTCGTCAGGATAGTGGCAGAAGCGGCAGAGGCGCGCGCTGTGTGTGTGTGCGTTGCGATAAATCAGATGGAAATATTTAAACATGCGTGTGCAAGACAACAAACAGCTTGTGCGTGTGATGAGACCACGGGACCGAGACTAAAGCAGGCCACTGCGCCGGGATGCACTCAGCTGCATTTCAAATTTTTAAATTTTAAATTTCAGCAAACGCTTTTCTACAGCTTTCCAGGCAAGCCACCAACCAAGAGAAGAATCCCTTCGAAGAAATTTTCGCGCCGGCGTGGCGTGCGACTAGATTCAGATTCGCGTGGGTGTCCGCGCCGGCACGGCCGACACAGCGCGAACCTGAATGAGTTGTCTCGAACTCGACGCGGGATCGATTTCCATCGCGGTCCTCGAGTTTCATCGGGGAGTCTGATCCCCCCTCTCCCTCTGTCCGTCCTGCTGGCGAGCCAGGCGAGCAGCCCGAACCCAAAACGGATGTCGCCGATGAAAATTAACCGATCATCCACGCCAAAAGTGGAAAGAGAGAAAAAAAGGGTGGTGTCATTGCGTTATCTGTTTTGGGAGATCTCATCGGGTCCGGCAACCCAACCAGCCAGCCGCCCGCAGCCGCCCCCGCCCAGAGTCACGACTCGAGGAGTCCACCGCCCTCTCATTTACTAATGTCATCACAAAGCCGGAATATGTATGCAGTTCGGATCCCCTACCCTCTATCCTATTCAATCACAAAAAGAGGTCTACACTAACATTTTTCTTAAAAAAATATCTGAAAAAGACACAATTGCACACCGTGACGTCGTCCGTTCAGCATTTCTTGGACGATTTTTAGCCCGGTGAGCACGCCCGTGGGGATGTCCCATAGCAGTTTTTCTTTTGTTTTTATGCTCCACACCTGATTTCCGGCCCGACGAAACACAGACATCAAACGGCTCTACGATCAATCAAAGAGCCTTTACGTCCACCGGCGACCGGAGGGGAGGGGGAGGAGGGGGAGAGGTACTGAGTGTGAGGAGGACGGGGCGAGGGACAAAAAGGCGTCGACATGCATGGACCTATTTCAACGTTATCAAGTTTATCACATTCAGTAGAGCATTTGATACGTACAGGAAGGTTTAGTGTTCAACAGGTCCTGGCGGTCGGGGCAGCTCCTCGACGACGACCACGACGAGGTCCTGGGGGACTCCTGGGGGACTCGTCGTCGCCGGTCCGCTCCCATTCATGAACACGGGCTGCCGTCGTCCGAACTGTGCCTCTGTCTCTCTTGCGCCCTACTGGACCTACTGGACGGCCCATGAGTGGAAGCGAGACAGAGCGGCGGACGCACTGTTGGGAATCAGCCTGCTGGCGCGCTTGTCCGGCAGAAAACCGAAGCGGAGACTTCCATTTCAGAAAAGAGCGACGCAGCAGGCGGCCGGATGGATGGAGTTTGTCCTTCTAAAATTTTGGATTGGCCGAGTTAGCAACGGTTGGCGAGCTTGTTGGAGGCGGGAATGACCAAATGCGTCCCGTCCCCGTTGCCGCCGAGCTCGGCCGAGCTGCCGCCAGGTTGGCACTCGCTCCAGGATGTATCGCTCCTCGGGGCTGCGCGGGAGCGTCTCGCGGCGTCTCGTCACTGCCAGTCACCACACTGCGTGCTGCTGACACGTTTGCCGCCTCCCGTCCCCCTTTCGTCACCTCGTCCGTACCTTTTCTCTGTCTCCGCCAGAGTATCCGTGTGCGTGTGTGTATTTGTTTGTGTGTGTGCGCGCCTCTCACCGCCCTGACGACAAACCTGACCATGTTGGCGGTTCGTACGCATGATAACATCAAAAGCCGCTCTTCCATTGAGCAGCACACACACACACACACACACACGCACACACACACACACACACGGCCGCGGACGAGCAGGAGACAGTGACTGGACGCCGATTTATGCGTATAGCCCGATCCTAATGCATAAAAGGCCTAACCTTTGGACGAATCGGCGGGCCCTGCCTGTGCCCTGCCTGCGCCCTGCGTATGCCGGTCCCCGTCCCTGGGTGTCCTGTCCCTGAGTCGCTGCTGCAAACGTTCCGAGTTCTTCTGGCGGGGTGATTCATCTCGGAGGGAGGGAAGCCCGACGCGCGCGTTCGCGAAAAGGCCCTGAGCGTGAGGAGTAGCGCCGCCCGGTCGCGCGGCGCGCCTAGTCCCCGCTGCCACCGCTAGGTGTCGCTAGGTGTCGCTGGCGGCTGGCGCGTGAGTCGCACAGTGGACCGGTGGAGGCTGCCAAAATTCTAGACGCGTTTTCAGCTCCAGAGACGCTCAGTGGGACTCGAACCGCACGTGTGACCCCATCAATAGATTACTCTCAGAACGAGGAATCCAGTGGTGGGGTCACACGCTCCGTTCGAGTCCTGTTTAGCGACTCTGGAGCTCAAAACGCGTCCAGAGTATCGGCCGCCGGCTCCGGTCTTCTGGCAAATCCACTGTGAGTCGCCGCGCGCGCGGCGATTGCCTCCATGCGATTGCAATCTGAGATCCCTTGACCGGCTCCTTGCTGAAAGGCTGAAAGTGACCCGCAAACACACTGCAAGAAGGAGAGGCGGCCCTCCGGCGTGGCGGCGTGCCTCGTGCCGATGACGATCGACAAGTGCCCCGGCCTCTACCCCGGCCCGGCCGCGCGCATGCAGCGTGCATTCATGGCCCCGGCAACGCAAACAAATGCCAGAGCAAATACTACAGTGCAGTGGAACGGGGTGGTGGCGTGCTGGCCGCTGGGCGGCCTGCCTCCGGTCCTCCAAGAGGGCGACGGGGTGGACGGCGGCGGCGTGCGTCGGGAGCGCTCGGCCCGCGTGCCAGCAGCCGGGCCGGGGCCGCGGGGCGCCGCGGGGCGCCGCGGGGCGGTCCGACGAATCGTTTCTTCGCCCCGTCTCTCTCGCATCCCTTGGGGAGCGCTCCGCGAGAGCGACAGAGACGGAGCGACGAAGTCTTCGAAATCAGTGTGCAGCCCCTGCTCGCCCTGCCCTTGGTGCGGCGTGGTGCGGCGTGGTGCGGCGCGGTGGCGCATGCGCACGGCCCGCGTCCCAATTAGCGAGGTACTCAGGGAAACAACCCCCGCCCCACCCCACCACGCCCCACCGCACCTCGATCCTTAATTCTACTCACATCTCCCTTAATTCTTCTTACTTCTCCTTACTGATACGTCTCCGAAAAGCGGCGCGACCTGCCATGCCCTTACTGTTTATTTATTTCTGTCGTTTTCTTTGTGAGGTGTCAAGCGGTGAGGGCGGGGCAGGGCGGGGTGGTATCGCGCGCGGGAAAGTAACGGAAAACCTCCGTGTACCGCGGGCCGCGCGGCGACAGGCGGCGACTGGCGGCGACGTGACCCCCATGACGGGGACCGATGGCACCCGCTGGCGGCCAAACGTACGCGGCGCGCGCAGTGAACGCAGTGCCGGCGCGCGCTGCCCGCCCCTTCGTCGGCAGGCCGTCGGGTCGGCACCCCCCGCGGGGCGGCCCTCGCCTCGCCCTCCGCCAACAACAAGTAACACGCCGTGCACGCAGCGAGCGGCGCGGCGGCCACCGCAGCGCGACGCGGCGCGACGCGATGCTGGATCTGATGCTGGATGCCGCCGGCCGCACAGTGGATTTACCAAAAGACCGGTGGAGGCGGTCAAATTTTTAAAAACAAGAAAAAAAAAACTTCCCACGGGCTTTAGAAAAAATAGTCTGTCAATAAACGGGGGCTTAAGGGGAATTAAAGGGCGAGGACCGAATTTGGCGAAGGAGGCGACCGAGTCAGTCAAGTGGTCAAGTGTTTTCCTGGGATCAGGGTAAACGCCCTTGTTGTCGGCCGAGGCCGGGCCGGTTCCGGGGTCATCCTGAACAAACACTGAGTAGACAGGTGTGCTTCTGTGGCGTCATCTCGACGTTCCCCCTCGATGGGCTGCAGCCCCGAGTCCGAGCTGAGGTCTCGAGAGACACGAGGGAGACGCTCCCACGCACGGTATTTTTGTTCGAAAACATTGGCCCGGTCAATTCACCGGGCACACTTTATTTTTCAAAATGTCGCGTGAGTCACCGGCGATGAAGACACGACAACGAGGACGGGGTGAAGGGTCGAGGGGTGGCTCTGACAAGTCCCTCGCAGGGCTTGCTGGCGATGCGAGGCCCGATACCCGATGGCCCGATACAGGCCCGTCAAACAGACGCGACGGCGCCTCGTCGTCCAGGAGACTCTAGGGGAGAGGGCAGCACGTCGACGCCTTCCTGGCGCTCTCTGGATCCCCCTCGGCGGCACCAACCCATGAACGAACCGCAGAGAACCGTACCGTACGGCATGCACGCCGCTGACAGTCAGCACCTTGTCTCCATCTCGGGACGTCTAGGGACGGGGCGGCGGCGGCGGTGTTGCGTGGTCGAGTTGTAGGGGCTATATAGTCATCACGGCGTGTGTGTGTGTGTGTGTGTGTGTGCGTGTGTGCGCGCGCGTACGTCCCTTTACCTTACCCAACGCGAAGGCCTTTATCCCCTCACGCACGGAGCGCGCGCGCTCGGAGAGCTCGAGCGGCAGAGGTGTGAAGGGCGCTAGCAGGAGTGAAAATAATCGTAACACAGCAATAACAATAATAATAAAATTGTGAGGGGCGAAAAAGAGGGAAAAAAGTGCGAGTCGGAAGGTGAAAAAGGGGGAAACTGGAGAGGCGCGCGCTGTGTGTGAGTGTTGAAGGAGTTTGGGGCGCCACGCAGACAGCCGGACAGACAGACAGACAGGCAGGCAGACAGACAGGTACAGCCAGACTCGTTAATTCCCACCCCCATAAAATAATAGCCCAGCCGTATAACACACACAATGGACGCAGGTAACTCTTCCAAAGGGCCGACCCTGCCTAAATAACTCCTCGGAATGAACAAGTTTGTGTGTCTGTGTGTGTGAAAAGGTCGCGCGGACTCGATCAAAACATTTGAAACTTTGTCGCCGAGCGTGGGCGGGGCGGGCAGGAGCCTGTCGGGGACCCTCTCGGGGGTCGCGGCGCGGGCCGGGCAGGCGGCCAGGGTCCCTCGATGAAGGCGGGGGAGGGGGAGGGGGCACAACGCGATTGGCGCGCGCGGCCGATAAGTTTAAAAGTTACGTAGCCTGCTTGCTCGACACGGCGTACACGTCTTTGAGTGTCGATTCAAGGGTCCCCAGCCATAAGCCACTGCGGTGGGTGTAGTAACGCGTACACAGGCGCGCGCGTGCGTGTGTGTGAGCCTTACTCGTGTGTGCATGTGTGCGTTTGGGTGCATGTGTGCGTTTGTGTGTGTGTGTGTGTGTGTGTGCGTGAGAGAGGAACAAAGGCGAACGGGAAAAGTCTCGCTGGGGGTTGGCAGCTTTTTGCCCGCTTTTGCCGGAGTCGCCGAGCGTCGCCGCCCAGCGCTCGCCGGTCGTTGAATTTCTATCGAATTTATGAATAAAATATCAAGCGGCCTCGCCAAATATGTAGTGACCAATAAGACCGCAGCAACAAAGGGATGCCATGCGGGGGGCGGCGCGGGGCGGCGCGGGGTCCGGACCAACCAGCAAAGCGTTGGAGAGCCAGGCGGGCAGGCGGGCAGGCAGCGCGCGGCGTGCCCCATATATTAGACAGGGACCGAAGGCAGGACGTCGCGCTGGCCGTGCTGGCTGTGCTGGCAGTGTGCTGGCCCGCTGGCCGGACCGAGGGCCGAGTCGAGTCTTCCGAGCCGCGGTGCTGCCGAGGCGGGGCCTTCCGAACAGGACATGTCGTCCATCTTATTGTTGTTGGTTAAAACCAGCCAGCAGCTGGTCTCCGGGAAATGTTTACATGAATTAATTCAATGCGATTCAGTGCCCGGGCCGTAGGGCCGCAGTGCCGGAGGGCTCGGAGGGGAGGCTTTTCCCCGTGGCGTGGCTGCGTGGACGCGGCCGGCCATCTTCGCAGAGCCTCGCCGCCGCGGAGGCATCAGCATAGCCAATGCGGGCCTCTGTCCAATACACTAGCCGGGAGGAAAGCGGGGCCGGAATTTGAATTTGGCGCGCTGCGCCGCTAGCGGGACGCATTTCGCCGCATCCATCCCGGCCTGCTCGTCCAGCTCGGGCAGCTCGGCCTGCTCGAGATGCAGCATCCTCCCGCGGTGCGTGCGCGGCCTGCGCGCTCAGTCCTCTCTCTGTCTCTCTCGCACTCGAGGGGCGCTCCCTAGGGGTGCGAGAGAGAGGGCTGAGACGAGCAGCTGCACGTCTCTGTGGAACGGGGAAAATGTTGCTCCTCTTGGCGTGGCTAGTCGCGAATTCTAATATTTTCCCCGCGGCAGCGCGACGAGCAACGCAAGCAACAAGCAGTCCGAGAAAGCACGCTGTCGCCGCGAGAGACATCTTGGGAAGCTTCAGCGGAGAAACTCTGCAAACTCGCCGCCACTCAAGGAGAGGACGAACCCGCGCACAGCTCGTCTCGATGAGACACTTTTCGGTGGTGACAATCGAACCCCGAATGAGTCGCTTTCGAAAGGGTAGCTCACCGTGGCGCCGGGGACCCGCCGCGGCCGCGGGATTCGGGCCACTGGTTTGAACACCCACAGGCCGCAGGCCTATACTCAAGGGGCACCGCCGCGCCGCCTGGAGCCTGGAGCCTGGTCCAGCTGGACGACCGCGTCGTGGAGCCCGGCGTGCGGTGCGCGGTCACCGCCTCGCTCCGTGGACACCTGTCCATTCACATGCCTGCGCTAAATACAGAATGAGCACGGCCAGGAGGCAGGCACGGCACGGCACGGCCGCAACGCCGCTCGGCTCAGCACGGCTCGGCTCGGCTCGGCTGGGCCCTTGACGTCCACCACACCACAAGCCGCCCTGTCACATTGCCCGCTCCACCTTTACCCCGTTCGGCCGTTCGGCCGTTCGCTGTGACTCCACCGTTCCACCCCTTCGCCCCTTTCCCTTTCCCGATGCGCGATCCCGTTTCCAGCTTTGGCGTGCTTTTGCGTGCTTTCGCGTCCTGTCCAAGCTTCTGTCCTCGGTCCGTCGGCCGGACGGACGCCGCCGCGACGCCTTATGTTTACTTTTTGAAATTATATGCGCGGCTCGTTTGCCTCGGAAGTCGTTTGTCATTGGCTGTTTTGAGTGCCGCGCGTGGGACGGACAGACGCACAGACAGACAGACAGACGCACAGACAGACATACAGACAGACAGACAGACAGACAGACGAGCGGGCGGGAAGACGGACTCCAGGCGAAGGCGCCCCGCAAGAAGAGCAAGTGAAAAGTGCGCGAAAAAAGGGAAAAAGAAGAAGAAAAAGAAACGGCGATAAATCAAAACGCTCAACACGTGATTCGTGGCCATCCAAGACATGACGGCCACTGCCTTGCGGGCACTGCCAGGCACTGCCTGCCCAGACCATGCCCCTTCCCGAGCCGGGACACTGGACGCCACTCACACCAGGCTCGCGGTCGCACACACTGCGGCAGAGCGGCACCGAGGAGGGAAGGCGGGGACGCCTCGAGGAGGACAAGGAGAAGGCGCCGTGTCGCCGTGCCGCCCCCACCACCACCCCCTAGGGGCGGGGCCTGCGCGCCGCGGCAGCCAATGGCGTCGCTCGCTCGGGCGGCGGCCGGCCGCACAGCTTGGCGCTGCCGCCGCGGAGGGCGCCACCGTCGCGCCTCGAGCCGCGGCCGCGTCGCCGGCCGGCCGAGGAGCCTGCGAGGAGCCGCGGAGGGAGCGAGCGAGAGCGATGGTGCGCCGCGGTGCGAGCGACAAGGACGCGAGACCGTAGCCGGCCCACCGGCCTGAACGCCTCCTCGACCACGGCCTGCACGGCCTGCACGGCGGCCTGCACGGCCGGGCCCGCGCCGCGCCGGCAGTCATTCCGCGGACGACCTCCGTGCCGTGCGGCGTGCGAGACGGGACGAGCGGAGCCGCGGAGCCCAGCCAAGCCGGCCTAGCCGAGCCGGCGCGACGTAGTAGTGACCTGCGCAGTGCGTGCGACCCCCCCCCCCCCGCGACCGCCACCACCCCCTCGGGGGCCTCCAGGGCCGCCTCCAGGGCCGCCGCCACCCCCGGGACGCGCGCGACTCGGCCCGCCCCTCCGCCGCCCCCGATGGGTATGCGCCGACATGAAGACCGCAAGAAAGTTGCAGTGTTTGTGAGTGCCAGTGAGTGCCAGTGCCGTGATACGTGATTTTGTGATGTGTGGTGATCAGTGCTAGTAGGAGTGGTGGTGCATCGTCGACCACGACGTCCGTGACGTCCCCGAGCCGACAGACGGGACCGGGACGGGCCCCTCTGCCGTCCAAACGATCCCTCATGGGAGTGTATGAGAACCAGCCATCGCAACGCCCCGGGATGCATTGGGTGAGTACCGAGTGGAGTGCTTGGTGTGCCGCAGCCGTCTGCCGCCGCGGTCGACGCCGTGCTCGCGCGCCGCGCGTGATGAACCCGTCGCGTGCTTCGCGTGCTTCGCGCGACCTCGCGTGCGGCGTGCGCTTAGGGCGTGCGGCGCGATCAACACGGCAGTGCGTGCGCCGCGCGCGCCGCGCCAAGTGGCCAAATGTCGGCCCAAAATTGCGGCGGACGCGTTCGCACCTCGACGCGTTGGCGCCGCGGCGGACTGCCGCGCCGCACTGGATCCGGTTCCAGGCCGTCCAGGTCCTCCAGGCGCCGTCACGCAGGGCCGGGCGCCCCGTCGCCCCGCCGGAGACTTGAACGCCCGGACCGCGCGCCGGCAGTGGCGGACAGGATTTTGGACATTTTGGACCACGCACGGACTCATTCTCCAGCCAGTGCATTGTCTCCGTCACTCCTCCATAGGACGCCACACGAGTGCGAGAGAGACAGAACAACGAGCGAAGCAGCCCTGCTCACGCGGTGGTCTCCGTTTGCATACGCCCCCTCCCCCCCACCCCCGGCTTGAAATCCGCTCTATGGTCCTCCCCTGTCAACGCGTGCGCCAGTGTGCGTGCCGCCGAGTGCCTGCGCGGCGTACTGTATTCACATGCATGCATTTTTGAGGAACCGTGCTCTTGTCAACGAAAGGGGTTTGTAATAGTGAATCGCATTGCAAGGCCAATGCCAGTGGTCACGTCCTCCAAAAGTTTGGGCATTTTCTGTTTACAGCGGTTGCCGTGAGTGTGTGCGCATGTGTGTGTGTGTGTGTGTGTGTGTGCATGTGTGTGCATGTGTGTGCAGCAGACACGTGTTGCAGCAGGTGTCGCGGACTCATCATGCTAATGTGTCTGGTAAATTACTGCGGAGCCGCGGCGAGCCGACCAGTCCGAGCCGAGCCGAGCCGAGCCGAGCCCCGGCGTGCATGCATATCTAGTTCCATTCCGAATGATTTGCAACAAAACGGGTGCCGTGTCCGAGCGCGCCTCGCCACGCCTCGGCAGCGGAAAGCCGGCACGGCACGGCACGGCCCGCGCCAGATTTCAAACTGACGGATTTTTATTGTTGTTCTGCGTGTTTGCTAAAAGAATAAGAGAGCACGCGCGGTGTCCGCGGAAAAAAAAGAGAAAAAGCAAGTGGAGGGAAATAATAAAAACTTTCTCGTCGGGTGGTCCAAAGATAGAAGATCCTCCTGGTTTATGTCCCTTGCGTGCTCCGTGCGCTCGCAGGGCTGGCGACTACCGTTCGCTGCACTGTATATGTACGTGCACCGCGTGACAGCTCGACTCGGCCCAAGTCGGCGCGACGACGTCTCACTCGACTGCGAATAAGGCACGTCTGCCGATAACAGAGGGGTCGTTATTCGCAGCACTGCCTATTCGCAGGAACGCCATGACGTCACACTCGACTGCCAATAGGCTTGTCGCCGCTCATTGATTACCCCTCCATTGATTTGGTCGCTGCACGCTAAGCGACGCCAAGCGACGCCAAAGCGGTTCCATTCAAGAGCCATTTTTCGTGAGGGCTTTTGCGGGACTGTGCGCGGGGAGCGCCGTAAAACGATGATTATTTGACCGCAGTAAAAACATTTCGGCTGGCCATAAACGTGTGCTCGCATTTAGCTAATGAGAAATTAAAAGGCAGTTGTTAAAACAAACAATTCTTTTTCCATAACTCGCGCTCAATTTATGGGATTCGTTCCGTTTTGCTGTTGATCGTCTCGGAGGCTTTCGAGCCTTTCGAGTGTTTCGCGCCCCGAGGAATGCCCGGCCGTTTTTGCTGCGAGAAAAAGGGAAAAGGGCGGAAGCGCGATTCCCCTTTTATTGCAATATGCCTCCAATTATGTTCAAAGTTTATCGTGCGGAACCGCATTGTAAATTATTGAGGATTGTTTCGATGGAGCGAGAGGGAGATCTCGCGCTCCTTCTAGGAGGTCTACTGCGGCGCCTCGCTCATGACCGCGTGTTATGTTGTGTGTGCCCGCGATGCCTCCGGAGAGGAAACGAAAGGCATTAAAAACTACATGTTAAATTTGCTGTTTTCGGTCTGCGGTGCATGCTGTATAGCAAACAGTTATCTCGGAAGCCCAGCTCTGGAGAATGAAACCGCATCCAAACACACACAAACCAAAATCTTTCAACAATTTTTTTTTTAAAAATCAGCAACCAGTAAAAGTCGTGAGACATGGAAAGAGCGCAAACTGCGAGGCTGCCTGCGGGCTGCCTTCGGCTGCTCTACCCTTCCTTTCGGCTACCCTCCACTACCTTCGGCCGCCTTCGGCCGCCGTGCCACAGCGCCAGTGCCATGGAACTCAATGTCCCGGAAAGTAATATTGTAACCGTGCTGCTTGGCGGACCACTGGGCCGGGCCGGGCCGGGCTGTGCCGGGGCGCCCGCGCCGAGGCCTTCTTGATGTGCTGGCCGCACGGCAGGCAGGCGCACACCTCGCAGTGGCACTTTATGCAGTGGCCATTACCACCCAGGGCGGCCGGCCCTTCTGCTAACTAGTACAGCCTTTATTGCACTTAATTAAATAATATGGAAAAAGTGGTGCACGGGGCAAAAATGTGAAATGTGACGCTATAAATTTGTACGTCCCGTTGTTTCCGGGCGGCCGGGCGCGGCCGGCGCAGCCAGCGCGGCCGGTGCATCGCAGTGCAGCCAATGGCGCCGCGGAGGGAGTTTTATGTGGCACGCCACTGGCACGCCACTGGCACGCCACCGGCACGCCGAGCACGCCCTCAAGTGCTCCGCGACGCACCGCGACGCTCCACACACGGGGCAATTCATCTCCCTCATCCGGGAAAACGCGCTGCCTTTTTTTTGACGGACGACTTTTTGGAGCGTTTCACGTTTTACCGCGGCTCGCCTGTTATTTTTCGGCCGGTAACAAATGCCGGCGTGTTGAGGGCACACCGTGGTGGGTGCGACGCTCTGCGAGGAGGCCAACATGTGCGTATCGAAGACACCCCGTTCCCGTTCGTGTGGGAGGGGCCGAAGGCGGGCCGAAGGCAGGACGCGCTACCGGCAGTGCACGGCCCCGCCACGGCCCCGCCTCCCGCTGCTGGTTTTCGTCGCGCAGCTGTGTCCTAACCTCACCTTTTTGTAGCGGCTGCTCGCCCGATAGCGCCGTGTCAAACCGAAACTTATTGTCCCAGCCTCTGAATTGGAGCAGCCCTGGCTTTATCGAAAAGGCAAGGGTTCTGCTCCGCCTTGCCTTTGCGCAGGCCTTGAATGAAATAAGGGGCAACCCGCTATCGCGCCTACAAGGGATTTCAGTTAGAACCTGCCGTTCCAGGGCGGTTCCAGGGCCGCTCCAGGGGGAACTGCGAGAGTCCTGCAGGAAGCCCTCCCCACTGGAGCGGCCTGGAGTATTCCGGGGAGATACCAGGCGGTGTTTCAGACTAACGACATGGCCTGAAAAGCCGCCCACGGGCTCTCCAAGATCAAAGGGGGCGCGCTGAAGCCGAGGCTGAAGAATGCTTGCAGCTTGCAAGTTTCGCCGGGGAAAGGGAAAACGTAATCGGTTGCATACGTGGAGACAGCGTGCTTGTCCAGCTCCAGTTTTCCTCCGCCCCACTCCAGGTGGCTCGTTCATCAGTGTCTCATTAAAATTCGAGAGCCCCTCGGTGTTTGTGTGTGTTTGTGTGTGTGTGTACGACGTCGCGCTCGAGGCCTCTCTAGGACGCGGATTTCGCCCATGTCGACTCAAACGTCGAACGGGAAAAGTGCGCGCGAGAAAAAAAGGAACCGCGGTTGAATAATTAGAGGATGAAATGTAAAGTCTGTCTGGGACGCGCTGTGGGGCGTTTTGTCACGATCCGCCGCGGCGCTCTGAACACGCCTATGCAAATGAGGCGGGCTGGCCGGGACGGAAGGGTCCGCGCCGTGGACGCGGAGGCCGCCGAAACGGTGGCGTGGCGGTGTGGCGCCCCCATCCGACACGTGTTCGTCAACCGCGGCGCCGTCGGCGACGACGGCCTCGACGGCTGCAGTGACGACGGCGTCCTCCTTGGTGCACGTCGGCGCCGGGCCGCGCTGGCGGACGCCAAGACGGTGCCAATTTACCCGGCCTCCTCGACGGCCTCCTCGACGGCGTCCTCGCTGCACGTCCGCGTCGTTCGCGCGCCAATTTCACGCGGAAAGTCGAGTGTCGCGGTGCTGCGCTCATTGTGAGGGGGGCGGGTGGCGGCGCCGGGGCCGGCCGGCTGGCTGGCTGGCGGGGCCCTCGGGGGCGGGGCGGCGAGGCTGGCTAGGGCGGCCAAACGCCCCAATTCATCTTGTGCTTGCGACACATGCGGTGGGGCGCGGCGGCCGTACGGATGGAACAGCGACCGACAGGGGACTGAAATATAGCGGCCGTGTCGCACGCATTTCGTTTTTCCATTTGTCTAGTACGTTGAACTTGCCGCGCGCGTACTACGTGTGTCCCGCGCCGCCGCGCGCGCTGCCTTTGTTTGATTGAATATTCCTCCTCTTGTTGGCTTTTGTTTTTGTTTTTTCGGCGGGCTTTTTTAATAACGCGCCTCTTAGGCCGTGAAAACGACGCGATAATAACGGACGCAGCAGCGCTGCACTTCTTGATTCGCGTTCAAATTAATTTTTGATGCCCGCCGCGGCAATTATCGCCTGACGCCTCAAAAAAAAAAAGATGATACACAAAATTAAGGCGTATTGGACGTGGGCCTGATGAGTGTGCGAGTGTGTGGGTGCGTGGCGCGCCGGAACTGACACGTACACACACGCACGCCCACGCACACACACACGCACACACGCGCAGGCGCGGAAGAATGCATCCGTGTGTATGCACCACATAAATAACGAATCGAAAACGACCGCCAAATTACCTCTGGATGGGCAAACAGGGGAAGGCCCGGGGCTCTAATTAATATAGACGTCTCCGGCAGCCTTCTTGCACGGCGTGCACCGCGTGCACTCGGAGGCGCGGCTTTTCAAACCATTTTTTTGGGG